GTACCAGCAGCACTGGCTCCTTCCCCATCGCCTAAATAAATATGGCGACAACAGATATATTGTACCACAATATCGGCGGGTCCATGAACGTTGTCACCGAGTTACTGAGACTCTCACAAAAACGGAAACCGAAGATAATAGCAATTGCTGAATGCCCTCTTGAGAATCAGGACTGGATACATTTGGAAGGATTCACATGCTACGCAAGCATAGCGGCAACGAAATACGGCTGTACCGTGTATGTTTTGAATAAATACGTGCACATGTTCGTGGTTGAACGGATAACGTCACAATACATCACACTGTGGACCGAAGGCACCAAAATTACTTTTGGCTATCAGAGGCCTTTTGCAAGAGACTTTGACTCAACAAACTAATGGCACACACATGGGGGAAGCAACATCCTAATAGGGGATATAAATGCACACCACCCCACATGGTCACAGGAATGCCAAAACACGGCAGGAGTAAGGCTAGCTAAATGGATGGACAGTAGGGGCATGACAGTAAGGAACCCCCACATAATTACCTACCCACCCAATGCGACCAACCCAAACGGAACAACCCTGGACCTTTTTGCCACCAACAGGGATCAAAAAATTGAAGTACGGATACTAGACCTGGCAACAGCGAGTCACAGGGCGCTGATAATTAAAACCAACTTTACATGGAACAATGACGGGGAAAAGTCACTAAGGCACGACAAAGCGGACTGGAAAGCCATTAGAGCCGAGATTAGTCTCATGGACGACCACAAGGACCACTCAACCAAAGTGCACAAGGAGCTCACACGCATAGCCAGAAGACACACACCCTTTAGGAAGCCAGGAAGCAAAGCCTTCTGGAACAAGACCCTGCAGCAGGAACGGAAGGAGGTTCTTCGCCTCATGCATAAATACCCCCACCACTCGGAACTAAAGGAAAAAAAGAAGAACCTGCGGAAAGCCATTGCGGAAGCCAAGCTCGAGGCCAATGGGAAAGCCCTCCAAGAAGAAACAGATCCCAAATGTTTCAGAATGGTCCGACCAAGGACCACCAAACACTCCATACCGGCACTCTCCAAGGAAAACGGTGAGGTAGTAGCAGAACATGTGGACATCGCCCAAGAAATCCACACGGCATTATACGGAGGGGAGAGGAGACGGACCAGATAGCAAATAAGCAGAGAACCGGAACCACTACAAATAGAAACCCTAGATGCGGCCATTAAACAGTCACTAAACGGAGTGGTAAGCGGACCAGATAACATCACTACCAGGCTAGTGAAATGCTTCAGGAAATTGCTCGAACCTCTTTTCCTAAGGATGATGAACAGGGCATGGAGAGAAGGGATCCCAGAGGGCTGGAAGGTCAGTACCACTCTACTGATACCCAAGCTAAACAAAACTTCATACAGGGTGGCAAAAAGCTAGAGGCCGATACAACTACAATCCAGACTGGCAAAGACCCTGGAAAGCGTAGCGGTCATACGGATAGCAGCGCTTGAAATCCTGGAAGACAACATGTTCAGAGGGAGAAAGAGATATAGCACGACAGATGCTATACAAGCCCTAAACAATGTAATGGATACTGCGGGGAAGACCGGCAAATGCATCACCACTCTCGATGTCCAAGGAGGCTTCGACCATCTGCAGATGGGAAAGGTATGCGACAGGCTTGGAAGGCACTCAGGACACCTGGCACAGTGGGTTCGGCACTGGGCCACCGATAGGACGACTAGCTACCGGTTCAATGGCAGGACGTTCCAAGAATATGCCACCGACAAAGGCACACCACAGGGCTCCCCTCTATCACCAATACCTTTCCTGATCAGCATGCTATAAACAGCAAAAGTACAGGCTGTGCCATCCCAGAAAGCGGAAACCAAGGTCCTAATGTACATGGACGACATCTTGATAGCAACAACATACCGGGATGTGGGAGAAGAGAAAAGATTACACCAGGAAACCGTCAAACAACTAGAGAAGACTGCAGCCGAGGATGGTTACGAGTTCGCGCCCAGCAAAGCAGAAATGATCTTCGTACAGACACCGCTGCAGAGCAAGTTCAAAGTCCGCCTACAGGGCCAGGAAATACCCAGCCAAGGACATCTGAGATGGCTTGGATACTTTCTGACAAACAAGTGGAAATGGGACCACCATGTCAGGCACTGGATCAATAGAGCCACTAGCTCCGGGCACCGCATAAGGGCAGTGATGTCCAGATACAGCAAAGGGAGACTGAATGCGGAAACAACACTGCGACTAATTAAAGGCCTAATAATCCCACAGCTGACATACAGAATAGAGAAATGGGGAAACAAAAGCCTGATAAGAGAAGCACAGACAGCCCTCAACAAGATAATCCGGACCGCATTCGGACTGGAAAAGAAAATACCAATCTTGGCCTTCCTCACCGAACTCAGAATCCCGCCGCTAGACCTCATGACGCAGTTCAGGCAGAACTTGCTAGCGCTCAGGGCTAACGCCAAGGACCGCCACAACACCTGGACAAAGAAATGGATGACTCAACATGAGGCAGAAGACATCATCGTTACTACCGGCAATTACCAATTGGGCAAGGACGCACTCAAGGACCGATTGCAGCAAGGCTGAACAGAAAAGGTCGCCAACGAAGGGACCAGGTACTTAGGGAGACCCGGTAAATCGCACAAATACCTACACTCCCTCACCAGGCAAGACTTCAAGAGTCTACTGGGACTGAGGGCAACGGCAGGATGGCCATACCAAGAGATAACTGGTACCAGGAGACAATGCCCATGCGGCCGAGATATAATTACCTTTGACCACCTGGCGAACAGATGCGGGGTAACGGCCGCCACAACAATTGGGCTCCACGACAATAAAAGGCAAGGCGAACTCCTCCAGTGGATGGACAACTGGCCACCGGAACTAAGAGGAAAACCGGAAATGACCAGGGACGAGGACGGCACCCAGCAGCCAGACTCCGCCCAGGTGGTCGGAGCCAACGTTAATCTACCCACGAGCTAACCGACACAGAGACCGGTGAAACTCAGACCGCGACGGCTGTGCGCGATATGCGGAGAAGCAGTGCTGAGGGACGTACAACACGAAACAGCACATGCGAGAAAGCACGACCCGGCGAGATAGGGCCGATAGGCTACATCAGCAGAAGGAGGTGTGGAGGAGGCGCCCAGTGGACCAGGGGAGCAATGCTGGTCAGAATGTTATTTCATAATGTACACGACCACGGGGCCTAGGGGGCAGGTGTGGGTTTCTTTTGTCCGATGGATTTTATTGTGTTGTTTCATAGCGTACACGACCATGGGACCTGGGGGGCGGGCATGGGTTTCTTTTGTTTGATTGGATTTCCTTTGTTTATGACCGTGGGGCTAAGGGGCAGGAACGTGTTTCTTTTGTTGATGGATTTTATTTTGTTCACGACCATGGGGCCTGGGGGCAGGAGTGGGTTTCTTTTGTGGCGGACCAAATTTGTTGAAGGAAAGGGGAAGGGGGGAGCGGGAGTTTCCTTTGTATGGCCTACAGGGGGGTGTAGCGAAAAATTTCATTGAGGGGGGCCCAGGGCTGGGGGCAGTATCCCATGCCGTACTCCGATTACTTTAGTTAGTAGGTGAGATAGTGGAAGAATAAAAGGTTTACACACACACACAAGTAATAACTCTATGATACAAGAGAAGAAAATCCAAGGGCGCGTCCGGTTGCCACGTCAAATACCCGGTTTGACCCTGACCATACTCGAGTGGAGGTTTGCGGCGAGGTTCTATCTTGCTTTGGAGTGGCGTGTCTAGTCGACACCGAAACGCAATTTTTAAAACCATTCTAACAATAAGCTCAGAGTGAAGGTACTGTACTTGTATCCAAAAAAGATAGAAGGACCCAATTTTTTTTTACAAAATCACGTATGATAATGGAAACCCCTTTCAAACAGTATACTCGAGTAGAGACATTACATTAGACTATCATATAACACCACTGCAACTTTCACTTGTACGAGAAAATTGATTGCTGTGTGTCAACCAGACACGCTGTGATATGATACTGCCGGTCATTGGTAATTTATCCTAACTTGGAATAACCAATTACCGCTCTCGAAAGCCCAGGGGAGACCAGATGCACCCTGAATCTAAGTATCAATTCATCTTCCTTCTTCTTCACTATCATCATCACCACCATCATCACCACCACCATCATCACCATCATCTCCATCCCATTCCTCCAAAAAGAAATCTCCGGGCAGAGCACCAAACGATGGCCCGTGCGTCCCGAGATCGGGTCTTCGGTCGGACGTTGAGGGAGGGAGGGAGGCGGAGGGGGGGGGATTGCGCCATGTCATTCATTCATTTACCGGTATTATGTGTGAACACTCACATAGTTTAAGGTGAAACCCACCTGTCATGCAACTAGGACCGACCCCCGCCCTTTCGCATACAACCACCCATAACTAGAAGGCAAAGGAAAAAAAAAGGAGGGAGAAACTGTATGAATAGGACACATCGCATCGCATCACGTAAGCTGTTGGCCCAATGGATTCGATCCACCTCAGTCGTAGCACTTGAGCACCGGTACCGTGTGAGTCTGTATCTACCGCGCGATTTTATTTGTGGGGTGAATACTCGTAGTGATTGGCGGCACTGGCATCGGACGATGGATTCGGTATGTACTGTACAGTACAGTATTGTACAATACCGCACTGCTACTGGTATGATACCTGTACGAGTACTAGTACATGTACTCGTACTTACCATGCTGTGCGAAGTTGGCCGCGCCACGTTCGCCCGTTGGCCATCGTGTTATGTCGTGCACAAAAGCACCCCTAGGATTTACCTAGCCGGCTAGGCTAACTGGGTAAATACTTGTACGAGTACAGTACGAGCACAGTAACAGTGATCTGCGGTCGCCCCGCTTGTCAACAGCTGAGCGGAACAGAGCACGACAACGGGGAGTGGTAGACCAGTCAATGATACCTTGAGCTACTATTATAATAAGCAAGTGCCTTGAGCTTTGGGGGGAACGAACGAATGAATGAATCGTGTTCAATTTATTTGACTAACCACCATGAACAATACTAACTGTCTCGCAATACAAAGTTGAGCTAAACGTAGACTATGATACAGGCTTGCCACACAAAAATCCAGTTCTCCATGCAAATGAAAACAACAGTAGACAACGAAAACTAGCCAACCTGCACTTGGCCGCCCGTATCCACAGAAGTACATCTTCTGCATCTCCCCAAATGCTAAGAATAATACCTTGGTGACAAGAACCCGAATCCACGAGTAAAAGAGAACTAGAAAAAAGACATGACTTGTGGAAAAAAAAAAGACACCTTTCCAGAATGAGAAATAAAACAGAACCCGCACAACCCCCTTTTTCTCCAGAAATCTCTATCCACAATCGAATCTCTCTCCCCACTTCATTACAACTTGGTATGGAAAAAAAAAAGCAAAAGGAACAGAAAAAAGATATAGTGCCACGGGGTTAAGCAAACCCAAAGTATCTGTGAAACATGTTAGCAAAGCGATAAAAATCCTACGACTCGGATTTGTGGGTATACTTACTCCGCGCCTTGAGTGATTGCTGTGAGGATGTTTTGCCTCAAACTCTCGTAGCTCTCGTATTCGGGCAGATCGATCTGGTTGAAGCAAGTATGAGAACTAGGAAGGCGGTCTTTGCTTCCATAATCCCGATGTATATTGAATTTTGAAAAGCCGTTCATTCCCTCCAGCTCTTTGAAGCCATTGAGGGGGACTTTACTAGTTCCTGTAACGAACTGAAGGAGTTTTGCACGCTCTTCCTTATCGAACGATCGGACTGCACGCCAGAACCATTGTATCTGAGGTGAGGAAGCAGAATAGTTGTGATACTCGGTGTTGTTGCGCCAGTCGTCAACATCAATCTCAGGCAAACCAGAGATCAAAAGTTCAAGTTCTTGTTCGTTGAAAATAGAGATCAACTCCGCTGGCACGATATCGTGGAAACCTAGTGGATAATTAGAGAATGGCGGAAAAAAGTGTGTATAGACGTGTTTCAACTCACCGACTAGGAAATTCTCCATTTGCTCTTGGACACTTGTAAGGAGCCTGTACTCTACCAAGAGCCGAACGTATTCGTGCTTGTTGTCGTCTGTTACGGGCACGTTGCGACCATCTGGCACAAGGTCAATGATTTTCTTATCGCCAAAATCATCTGTTTCAACTGAGAATGTTTCTGTGATGATGTCGGTGATGTCGTTCTCGAGCATCCAGACCAAAGATTTATAATAGTCAAGATCCAACGTTTCCATATCCTTTAGAGAGACAGACTTCCCGAGTATGCGCTATGTTCGTTGTTAGTTTAGGCACCAACCAAAGAGAATAAAAAGAGAATTACCTTATAAACTGCTCTACTGAAATGGCAATCCAGCACGCGCCCTTCATATAAAGCCTTTCCAATAATCCTTCCAATAAACTTAAAGAAGCTCAGATGTTCCGGGTTGACACCGCTCATACGGCTTGGGTGGAATGTGGTCCTGTCGGAAGCGACAGGGATAAAAAGAGCGTAATCAGGATTAAACATTTGCCTTGCCATAACCTGGAACCACTCTCTAGTGACACCGCCAGCATCAACCCCTTCCTCGCCATGGAACCGGATACTTAGTTTGGCGTATTTGATCTCGTCACCGTTCTTGTAATACATTGACTTGTAAGAATCGAGGAACACTTGGTCGCGGCGGACGTTGAGCTGCAATGTTGGGTGAGGATCGCGGTTGCCTTGGCGTGTATGAAGGCGGCGGTTGAAGTAGTTGCGCTTATTGTCGAATTCCAATACCTTAGGATTGTGAACCAAAAGCGCAAAGGAACCACTCATTAACTTCGGGTTATTGAGAACCATTTGGTTCAAAATTTTCCTGTGATCCTCAGTAAATTTGAAGAATAGATTTTCCATACTTGTTTCTGCCATTGCAGGGCTCATCGGCGTCTGACCCCGTTGAGTTCTTGGTGCTTCCTTCAACCCACTGTTCTTGCAGACCACCATCAAGGCCTCGATCAATGGCAAGAGAATGGTCGCAACATGGAGCATGTCGTTGCGTTCATGGATAGCAGAAAGGCACTGGCTGAGCTTTGACCATAACGGCCCGAAGGTAAGGCTCTCATAAAGATTTGAGAGTACATCACGCTCTTTTTTGCTTTCTTCGTCCTTGGGTTCGCCATCCTTCACGGTCTCCCTACTTGGCCGCTTGGGATCAAAAAGATAGTCAAGCGCCGTCAGAACGCGGAGAAGTTTGGCCTGATCGGAGCTCGCTGGCGAAAAGTTTGACAGGGCCATCCCTTGGATTTCCGTCCCATTTTCAGCGTGCTTAATTTGATGCACCAACACCTCGAGATGCTCGAGAATTGTGCCGCCGAGTACTTGAGCCTGCCGGATCAATTCCGCGCCAAAGACCACCTTCGCCTCCGGAATTGCAGAGAGGTTTTGCATAGTTGCGAGTGTTTCACGGAAAGTCTTACTTGAACATTCCCGGGCAGTAAGTATATTGACAACCAATCGAAGGTTATGTTCTGGAACAACTGGAGGCACCAAATGGCGCAGTCTCCTTCGCCTATCATCATCTTTGTTGCGATTGCTATTGGACGCTTCATCCTTATTCTCGCTGGATTGGCCTTCCGCAGTCGCCGCAGTTGAGGTTTCAGTAACTGCCGTTGTATTCTCATCAGCAGGCTCCACCGTCGTAGGTTCCGCCTCCGCTGCGGAATCGGCTAGCTTTTGCTCATCCGGTTTCTTTTTCTCCCTCTTGAGAAGAAATGTTAGAGGCCTAGTAATATCTGATAGCAACACCGAAAGCTGGTCCATTACAGTGGAGCTCTCAGTAATTAACCGGCGATCCAAAAGACTCAGGAGTGTATTCAGGGCATATTTGCTCGCCTTGGGCGGAGGAACCTCCTTCCCTTTGCCCTTTCGGCTTGTAGACCTCTTAAGTCCGACTGAGATATCATGCTCATTGAGGAAGTACGAAGGTATATGTTCATTATAGCTGACCAAAAAGAGTAGCGCGCCTAGGCACTGCTGGGCAACCAGTAAGGGCGAAACTTCACTGCTGGTTTGGGCCAGTAACCCAGTCCCGGTTCGTTTGACCACTGCTGTTGGAGTCTTTGTGGCAGGTGCTTGTTTCGCTCTCACAGATAATTGCGCGAAACTCCGCTCAACCGCCGCCATGTCCGAGCTACCATCTTGCAGAATAGACAGGAGAAGGTTGACAACCTCGGCACGATTTTGTCTGTTTTCGCAAATATTGAGCAAGATTTCATGCAGCGTAATGCGGGTACTCCCAACTTGAGGAATAAACATCAACCGCAAAAGAGTAGCAACACCAGCTTTATCTAACAATTGGATCACACTCTTGCGAAGCGGCTTTTTGACTGGTTTTGGCTCCGGCTCGCCTGGATGTCGTACACCACTTACACGAGCGACCCTGGGCATCTCCACGAATTGGTTAAATCGCCGTTCCCCACGAAGCTGGTTTGCCTCTGCAACAATCGCTTGAGGTAGTTGTGCCAGAGATTCATCATCTTGCTCAAGCAGAACGGTTTGGCGAAGATCAGGCTCCAGAGTCGCAAGGAAACTCGCGAGATCCAGGTCAGCCGGCCCTGTCGAAGCCCCCGGCGGTCGAGCCTGGTCCCGTTCCCGACGACGGCGGTCGGCTGCCTCTTGGGCGAGGAGTTCATCACGGATCTCATCAGGCAGAGCTTCCAGGAATTCGCGGCTGATTTCGCTTGGTTGATCATTAGTCGCCGCTGCCGCACGCCTCTCCCGGATGTGTTGAGTTAGGACTTCTTCTCTCAGTTCCTCCGGCAATGCCTCCAAAAATCCAGGGTCTATATCCATCCCGGTAATATCCATCTCGCGTCCGCGAATCATGACAGTGGCTCGCGGCGCCGGAGGATCCGAAGGGCCCGCTTCAAGCCCTGCTGCTGCTTCACCTTGAGTGGCCTCAACACCCTCCATGGCTTCTCCTTCTCTTGGGCTGTTCTCGCCATCAGGAACCTCAGATCCGCTAGCAGCAGCCGCCGCCAGTTCCGCCGCCTCCGCAGCTACCCGTTCAGCGGCTTCTCGCTCTTCAGCCTCTTTCCTGGCCTTTTCTTCTTCCTCTACTTTTTCTCGTGCAATCCTCTCCTCTTCCTCTTTCTTCTTGCGCTCTTCCTGAATTTGAATCATCTCTAACCGCGCCTTCTCTTGTTTCTCTTTTGTAATTCTCTCTTCTTCAATAGCCGGAGGAACCAGAAGGACTAAGATAGCATTGACCACTTTATGGGCACGATCTGGAGCACTAGTGCCGAACAATAGTCTAGATTCTTCGGTCCATCTACCGGTGGTCAATGTTGGGATAAAGCTATTAACCGCCGTTTGAGGGTCTTCTCGATGATGGCGTGGCATGTCCGGTAGTGGTCGAGCTGCCTCGAACATGGAACGCAACTCTCGAGGCATAAATGGGGCGGCGTGAGGGTGGTGATGGTGGTGGTGGTGAGCAATATGAGGGAGGGCCTGGAATTGAATAGATCCGCCATTAGAAATAACGGGAACAGGCTGGCCGGTCCTAGTCATCAAACTCATGAGAGTACTGATCATAGAAACAGTGCCACCCGGACCGCCAGCCGCATGCATTCCATCAATGGCCTGTACCCAATCGGTCATGAACTCCTGGCTACGGTTATGGGTTGGCCGGGCGCTGGCCTGTTCGTTATTAGAATTCTGCTGTAAAAGTGGATTTTGATCCACATTGTCGGTGGTTCTCGGAGCTGTGCCACCCATATAGTGGCGAGGGCGTGCTGCGTTTGACACTGTAGATGTTAGATGCAAGTTATTGAATAAGCAGGGGAAACTAAAGCCTTACTGAATACTGGAGACTCACGAGGAGGCCCACCAAGTGTATACCATCCACCATGGCCACGAGGATGAGCACGAGCCATCATTGGAGCTTCTCCTGTTTCATCGGCCCAGCCCCAGGGGACGGCCGAGAACGCACCTTCGTCATCTTCATAATCCTCTTGGATCATTGCTTCTTCTTCATCCATGTCATCGTCGTCATCATCCTCGTCATCTTCTTCGGCATCATCATCAATAAACCCATCATCTCGATCTTCGTAGCCAGGTTCCGGTGCGCCATCAGATCCTCCGGGAGCGCGAACAATTGTTTCAATACCATTGTCGGGCAGTATTTCATCCCCCTGGTCCTCCTCACCCTCACTGCCTTCTGATTGCCAGTCTTCTTCACCACCACTCCCGTAATGAACTTGATCTTGGGCCATTTCATCTAAAATTTCGACTTCATCGTCCATATCGTCCGAGTCCTCGTCGTCATCGCCATCATCGCCGCCATCGTCTTCACTCTCCTGCTCTGCCTCAACGACAATTTCAACCTATATGCTATTAGTTTCTATCCGGGTGCACCATAGGAAAACAGTCACTTACATCCATACCTTCACCTCCTTCCTCATCTTCCTCATCACTAATTTCACTATCACCCTCTTCCTCCATTTCTTCCTCCAATTCCATCTCGTCGTCATCCATCTCGTCATCGTAGTCATCTTCATCGTAGGAGCTATGCTCATCAACCATTTCACCCTCAAACATCCCGAGGGTCGAATTTCGATAAAGATCTGGGGTATCCTCCCGCATATCCCCAATGTCTGAAATAGAAGTAGCGGTCGATATCTCATCCTCATCTGTGGCTCCAGGGGCCGTTATACTGGAAATCTCATTAAGATCGGTGGCCGTCTTTGACAAGAGTTTGAGCGGTCTGAGAATGTACTTAATTACCCTTCGCGCCGAGGGGAAATTCAAGTCGATGTCAGCAAGGGATCCAGTTAGGGCTGCAATGAAGTTTTTTTCAAACATGATCCGAGCAATTTGTTGTTGAGATTTTTCCGAAGGAGTGCCGCTTGTTGAATGGTTGTGGTTGGGCCGCGCAGACAGCATTCTGAAAAACAGGTCGGTAAGGCTCATCATCCTCGAGTACTTCGCATCTAACGGCTCCACAGAAGAAGAAGCATCCTTAAAAGCCTTGAGCGCGCTCTCAAGGATGAACTTTCTCACAAAGAGAAGACTTGATTCATCTGCAGTGCTGGAAGACTCCCCAGTCTGAGCCGATAAGGAAACGATAGCCAAGATTGCCCATTGTGATGTTGTCGCTCGTTTTTTGTATGCAATGTCTTCTGTATGTATTAGAGTGCCCAGAGGAATGATATCGTTAAGCAGGTAATTCAGGACTGCAGATCTTGGTTTCGAAGGTGTAATCGCTTCCCTTGGCGCCGCTTTGCGGGAAAAGCCTATGAACTCTACTTTTGCGCGGTTATAACAAGATAGCAATTCAGTTAAAGCTTGCAAGATAAAGCACCGGTAAATGAATATAGGGTGTTGCTCCGCTTTAAATTCAGGTTTCTCGGGCTTAGAGGGCGAGTTCGCTTGCAATGTCTCAGCGGGTTTCCCCGTAGACTCTCCTTGCTCCATTTGGACATCCATTGGCGCCGACGTAATATCCTCTTTTGGAGGATTTGGAGGGAAAGGATTGTCCATTTCATCCTTGGAAGCGAGAAGCTCACTAAGCAGGAAATGAATTACTCCATCAGGATTTTCTAGCCCAGGCGGTTTAACTTCAACCGCGGGCTTTGGCTTGTCGACCATTTCCTTATCTTCGGCTCCTTTAGCCTGCGATTCTCCAGTCTCCTTTGCCGGGTCTGATTCAGCTTCCGGTTTCGATTCGCTTTCAGATTTAGGGCGTTCTGTTTCCTTGATTGCAATTTGTTGGTTTCTTAAATGTGGATCGTATCTAGTCAATTTGCATAGCTCATTGACCAACTCAACAAATGCGTCCGGGTCTCTCAAGACAAGATGGTGGTTATGTCGTACAAAGGCCTGGGTATCGGTTTGACGGGTGCCTCGTGACTGGAACCATGTGCGGATCTCGTTCCTCATGATTGCTTTGAGCACCCCTGTGTCTTCAATGATATGCCGAAGGACAAGCATTATAGACGCTTGAATACGCTCTGTCCTCAGGCCAGCTTGGCAACGTAACATATGGAATAGACTCCGCAAATTATCCCCTTCGGTCATTCGAATTGCGAGCTCCCGCTTCCGAGTAAGCAACACCAGAACACGAGCCACGGCCAAAGGCAAAATCTCATCTCTACCGATAACCGAAACCACACCCATGACAGCTTTGAAAAGTGCAGCTTGATCTCCATCAGAAATCTTATACGAATTTAACTCGGCAATATTTTCTGGCTCTTGATCGCTAGGAGGTGATGAGAAAGTAACTCTCCTGGGCTGGGCTGACTCTGACAAGACTTTTTCTACCACCAACAGGATACTGGCGATCCACGGAGCGGGTTCTCCTTTATTCATTTTGATAAATCCAATGAGAGTCGGAATTTGTTCTTTGAGGTCCTCTAAACAAGCGTCAAAGAAGTCTTGGTTCTGAAGGACAAGCCCGAGAAGGTGAGAGGTTGATGTTATGGTTTTGGCGCAAGGCCGAAGGTCATCATCCGCTTGTAGTGACATCAATGATTGTAATATTGTTGAGGCAACCTCTTTCCTAACATCCGGCGATTCTGAGGCCTTACCAAAGGCGCTGGTAAGGAGAGACGAGAGCTCGAAGGTGACAGTTGAATGGACACGGAGAACATCCAAAGAGCGATCAATAAGGCTCTCGCGGATAGTAGATCTAAGCTCATCCAAATCCTCGATTGTTACAACTGCTGGCAGTTCAACCTTTTCATCCTCTCTAGCCTTGCCCTTTTCAACGGTGGACGGGGGAATCTCGGCGGATTCACTAGCTTGGGGCTCGCCCAACGGAGGTGTGGTCTGGACATTAGATTCGTCGATGTTCATCGCAACCACACCATCATCAACCGGAGGAACTCCAGTGTCAACAGCGGGTGCAGGTGGTGCGGGGGGAGGCATAATCGGTTCAGTAGCTGGTGTAGCCCCTCCAACCGCCCCTTCCGACTGCGCTGGGATGATAGGCTCTTCCCTAGCCGCATCGACATCTGTTCCCTCTTCGTCGGTAGAATGAGATTCAGCTGTTAGAGGTCTAGAACTGGAAGCAGATATTTGGCTACCGCGCTGAGGAGTCCTAACTCCTTGTGAAGTGAGCCATTCGGTGGCAGTATTCACGTTACCATTGCCTCGCAAAAGCCCAGCCATGGCGTTTTCCCGGGTAAACCCCATTTCAACAAGCTGCCTGATCCCCTCCTCATTTGGTTCCATCGTCCTCCACGAGATTGTATTTGACAGCCTTCCTTTCTTCTCCAATTCCTTCCGAGTAAATGCACTGCCCTCGCTATCTGCTTTGAGTACGATTCCAAGAATCTCAATAACAGACTTAACAATAGAGCAAGAGGCTTTTTCAATAGAACTAGCATCCCACATATCTCTAACCACCGGGAGAATACTAGCCCTAAGTTCCACGAGGAACTGATGCGGATTAAAAAAATCAGGACGGGGCGTATCACTCGAGCGTTCACGAGTTTGAAGTGCAACAGTCTGTGAAGAATCCAGGACAGATTTGTTTGAGACCAAATGGGTAAACAAAGACAATATGATCTTGATGCCTCCGTATGCGTGTGCCATTCTCTGATGGCTATCTTTTCCGATTTGTTCTGCGTCTCCAAGAGCGGGCAGATCCCGAACTTCACCCCAAAAGGTTTCTAGTATATCGGTCATGGCTTTTATCCCATTATTTTGTTTGAACGTAACCAGAGTTATGGTGATAACTTGACCGCTTCCTTTTTCTATATTCAAAATCAGCAATCCGAGTGGGTGGGTAACAGGTTTATAGACTGCTCACCTTCAAGTAAGAGTGAAGTGATAGAGGTTAACATCACAATCCAATATCCGTATTTATCTGTGACCGAATCGCTGCTATCTGTATGGCTGTTAGCAACATTTCTCCGACTCTGAACAGCTCAGCAGTACCTAGCCTCTTCCATGTCAAATGATCATACATGGACTCAGAAATAGCCTCGGCGATTTTGAAAGCGTGCTGTTTATGGAATAGATCAGTGCTCCGCCTAGATATGAGACTTCTAGCAAGGCCTATAAAAACCAAATCAGTACAAACTTCAGGAGATCGCATAATGGAGGCTTACCCTGCAAAAATGGAGTGATACTCGAAGGGATTTGGCTAATAAGAAACCTTATTGTCTTAACATTTCGGAACCACGGGGTCTTCCCGTCCCTCTCTACAACAGCTTTCTCGGCTTCTTTCTGTTCATCCTGGGATCTCGGGTTCTGAAGCTGGCCCTCGGCTGACGTAGCGACAACAGCAGGAACAGCTTCTTCCTCGATACTAGCCGCTGCTGCTCCCGCAGAGTTCTTAACCCTGGTAGCTTCGTTCCAAGTATCTGGAATGGTATTCTGAAGTAGTATTTCCTCCCAAACACACATCCGATGTAGGGCGCCAAGGTTCGAAACAATCGCTTCATTCTCAGGTTCCATAAATATTGACAGAGTTAGCCTGACGTTGAAAAGAGGCTGGCCATAAAGTTCTTGTAAAAGATAACAAAGAGAATGGACTGTGACCAGATCTTTAATGAGCTTTGTACCGCCTGATCTAACATCTTGAGACAACTTTTCTCGAATTGCCCCAACTCCTTCAACAGTACCCTCACTTGCAGACGCTGCCGCCCGATGATCGCCCCGAGTAGGGACTCCTCCTTGGAAACGGGGGGGGAGAACAGCAGCCTTTTGGTCGGTTAAGGGAGCAAAGAATGCCTCTTTCTTGTCGTGTCTGAGCAACGGCTGTAGTTGATCGATGGCCTTTTGAGCATGCCTTAGAGTCGCTGCAACTGTCACCGAAGGGCTGTTCTCACTGCAAACCTGGAGAACACGGCTCATCATTTGATTGGCCTGACTGGTAGCGAAATCGTAAGGCAAGCTAGGAACAGTGTAAAAGTCAAGCAAAAAGTCTAGACCCTCACGCTTGATAAAGTCCTTCGAGAGATTTGCATTTGCCAAAAATCCTTCCAGAAATCTGCCGGCAGCATCGATGAAGTTAACGATAGAAGGTTGGTTCCTGTCGGCATCCTCGGCCTCCTCGTCGATAATGTCACTCAAAGGAACAACTTCGGTCTTGGGTGCACCATCCGGGCTGGTTCCTCCGAGAGTAACTGTGGAGACCACAGCGTCGGCATCTCCCATCTCAACATCTTCCCCATCGTTCCCCTGTGATTTCGTTGAAGATCCCACGCCGGCTTCTGAGGAGTGCTTATGAATTCTCCCAATCAACGATTTCCTTCCCCCAGCCACCACCATCCCGCCATATCCATCTTCAATCCATAGTTTTGCCCCCATCCCCTTCTCCTCGGCGAACTTCCTACCGAGGATTTCGACTCTTTGCAGCATCTCGATAACAACTTTCATAACATTCTCTCGAAGAACAGGATGGTGTCGGACTAATTCATCAAATTGACTACCCAACACACTAGCCAATTCATGCTCGGTCAGGCATTTAACGTGATCGGCGCTCTCGAAAATCTCGAAGAAAGTCTCCAACGCCCCGGAAGTCTGAAATAACGCCAGGCCCGATGAATTGAGACATATGGCCCCGAACGCTGTAGGAATTGACCCGATAGAATCTATCGAAGGCATGATACCTGTGGCGGGGGTATGTAGTCTTGGTGGCAGGTCTCTCTTCCGGTCCTCTGGCGATTCGTCTTCCTTGTCCTTTCCCTTGTTATTAGACTCGCCAGGAGTAGAGCCTTCTTCCATAGGCTCATCGCCCACGTCCGCACTGGCTGCCAGACTCGCATTGTCTCCTACAACCTCTCGGCCCTCCTCGTCCTTCTTCCTCTTTGCTTCTTCCTCGGCCAAGCCAGATCTTCCCGTGACAGTCTCCAGTAATGCATGACTCAAGCCGGCCTCATGAATAACAGCGTAGCTAGTAGGCTCATTATGGATGAAGGCGCTAACTATGCCGACAACCGTACTCCAGATATTACTCCCCCATATGGTTCCATTCTCAATCACCACTTTCAAGGCACTGAGCAATTTCGGGCTATCAATTAGATTTCTCAGCAGCCGATCTGCATTGCCTCCAGATTGGGCCATCATATGCTGCATAAACTTGAAAACCATTTTAAGGGTCTGTTGGCGATAGAACCCGATTTTGAAATCGGTCGTCGAGCTCTTATATTCATCAGGGATCCCTTTCCCAGTCCCGGCTTCCTCTAAACCCGCCTTCACTTCATCCGAAACAAGATCGACCACAACATCCAAGCCTTTTGCGCTAGCCAAGGCTTGGAAGGCATTTTGGACATTGTAGATTAGCGAGTCAAGAAAACTAACAGCCTTTGGGATGTTCCGAAGGGCCTTTTTGGTACGTAGCTGCAAGAGCTCCACCAGGATGGGGATAAGACCAGCAGATACGAGCAAAGATCCAGCATGCGCAGTAGTTGGTAGATAGCCAACCAAGGTAAACAAAGCTTCCCGCCACTCCTCAGCCTCCTTGTCGCATTCCTCCTCATCCTTCTCGATAGCCAACTCTTCCACGGCTTTTCGAACAACGTAGAGTAACACCCCATGGTTGACATTAACACTTAACGCAGCACAAACATCTGCGGTCTTGCTCTTGTGCCTCGCCAGAGCCTCCAAACCCCCTAACGCCAATGTTTGAAGCCATCTCGGAATTTCTTTTCCATCCCCCGATGCTCCTTTTATATCACCGCTATGAACTAACTCTGCAAGTTGATACACCAATTGGAATCTTCGAGGCTCATCCTGGTCTGGCTGTAGTATCTTTGTTGTGAACTGGTTCTCAGAATAAACGTATGCAAGATTTGTCAGTGCCAGTATCCGGATCCCCAAAATTTGTCTCCTCGTTTCCGCTGTCCCAGCGAGCGCCGAAGCAACACGAAGGCGATGTAACAAGTCGTAATGAGTATCGGCAGGAGTTTCAGGTAAAGTCGATTTGAGGATATCCTCAAGGTTTGGAGCAGCCTTGATTTGGCTATACGGGATTTCTAATGTTTGCATACCCCCCGTGACAGCGAGGTCAGATGAATCAGTAATAGTGTCGTCAGTGGATCGTCTCCTATTATGAGCAGAGCCAGATGTCTGATGGCCGTGATGCAATGAGGTCCTTCGAGTCGGGGTAGGCGTGGCGGGCTCTTTGATGACAAAGCCAGCCCCTGGTCCCGGAACAGTTACCGCTTTTTGCGTGGTGGGGCTAACATAGTAGCTAACATAAGCACCTCCCCACTCTTCCCAAGGCCCTTCCCGGCCCTCGGAACCTTTGCCTTTGCCTTTGCCGCCCAGAACTTCCGCACTATCTATTGGCCTCTCATCTCTCGCCAACCTCGCAAGATCATTGGCATAGATCGGAACGACTGCCTTTGTCGAAACATTCTTGCCAGAAGCCAAACTAGTAACCGCTATGCTCTTAAGAAATGGAGTAGCGAGTTTTGAGACCCTCTCAAGATTAATGTTGTAATGAGAAGCAAGCAGAACAGCGTTAGTGGACTGGCTAGCGCCACGGGTTCGAGAGGTATGGTATCTCTGGGCAAGGCGAGAACCTAGACGTAAAGACGCCTCCAAAACATCCAGGGAGGTTGTATTAAGTAGGTCATTTATAAACTGGGAAAAGTCAACGTCAATATTCAAGCGAACGATAAATAGTAAATAGGACATACCCCACTGCTGCCATAGAGACTTCGATTCCCACAGTTCTCGACGAGCATCCTACTAAATTTCAAAACCCCAATGACCAATTCCTCATCTTGGCGTTCCCACAATATCGTTTGTGGCCCTTCTTTGAGTTTATACTTTTGTACTTGCTCCTCTAAAATAGAGTCGAATCGATTCAATAAGGCTATCCAATGATACAAGTCGCCACGAGGGAACGGCCAATGCGCGGGGAACTTTGAAAGGAATGGTAAAAGCTCTGGTATGGGGATTGATGTAGCGGTAGTAATGAATGACTTGAGAAAGGGGGACTAAGACATGAGGTCATAGTATTAGCACAACGTCGCGAACCATCACCCAGCACGCAATAGGATATCTGAAGACAGAATTGAAGGATAAAGAAAGATGCAGAGTGGATAACAGAGCGGATAACCCACAAGAGTAGCCTCATGCTTGGCCGTAGCAGTCTTCTTGATTTTCATGATTGTAAACGGTGTTGTTGATAGCTTCTTGTTTTTGTGATCCTAATCGCAACGAATGACGAATGACACTCTTTCCGAGCCCAAAGTTAGAAACCTTTCCTATCATAAAGCTGCACGATGGGTCCATGAATAAAAGGAGACAAAGTACCAGTGTATTCACGATTCCCGAAAGTTTGTTCCGCTCGCTTGCGTCACGTCAGGTCCGCCTTGTGCCAACAGCGCAACAGACGCTCCCGCGGAACTGACTAGGAGCGGAAATTGGGGAAGTGAAAAACAAAAAAGATATCACTAAAACACAGGGCTTTACTATTAGCAGAACGGAAGGGTAGTTAGCAAGTTCGTAACACGTAGAAATGGGGAGAAAGAGTGGGGAGAATTTTAGAGGAGGGTATTTTAATTGGAGTAAGAAAAGATTAGTGGGGGGAGGTTTGTAAAGGAAGACAGATCGGATTCGTGAAAGAACAGAACAGACTGAAGGAGAGTGCAGGTCTCCAGATTGCTGGACTATTCTATCAATGAGAGCGGGGTGGGAGTGGAAAGAGCGGGGGTTGTGGTGATGATGTGCGATGGAGGGGAAGGACAGGTGATGGTTTGGAGCAGAGAGTGTTGATTAGATTGAGGGCAACTAAGGATGGCAGTCATCATACTAAAGACGAGGCAACCAGAAGCAACGGTGACGACGGGGGTTTGTTACACACAACCCGCTGCCCGTAACCCGCATACCGTGCATGGTAGTGTATCATAATATTGTATGATGATAAACCGAGTCGCCATTTAAATTTTCCAACCTGTCCACGATAACCCCACAATACTCGCATTTTTTTCCCTTCCTACATTTGTGATTGCAGGCAGATCAGCCCATATTGTCGAAGTTGACCAATCCTTCGCTCATGTCCCGCCCCAGCGGAGTGGTATATGGTGCCCGGTTGGAGGGGGATTCCATCCTGTATACCGGTATTGTGCTTGCAACTCTCGTCTTCAGGGCTATGCAAGGTACTGTTATTACTCAAGTATTGCTACATAGAGAGAGAGATCCGACAGCGATTCTGATACAAATACCGTACTCGAGTACAATAGAGTGCCGTAATTGTGCTGCACCGTCACTGTACCGCACGCAGCACAATAAAATAACCTCTAAGGTGATACTCATCGTATCGGCTTTTGGAACCAGTGATTTCTAGATACACCCATCATAAGAAACACCTACAACTGCGTCCGTAAAGTTTTCACACCCTTCCTTGTGCCTCAAGAGTTTACTTATTAACAATAGAACCGGAAGAGCCTTTTAGATAACTGTCTTCAGATACGCCTCCAGGGACATTTTAAAATTTTGTCACAATTTGTTTTCCTGAATAATATTATGATAATGAGAGAGAGGGTCAGCAAAGGGTTTCCAAGGGCTGTGGGGGCACTTTGAAGGGTATCATAGCACAGATACGGTTGACTATTTATTATGAGAAATTGCGGATGCGGCTGTACTGTACTAGTACTCGTACAGTACTCGAGCACACCCCTCTCTTCTAATCTTTCTCGCAGTACCGGTACGGTACGATACGGTATTCTAATCTGATATTAACTTATCTGATAACTCTTTCAAGTGCGCAGTCCAATAACCGTGCCAGCGCCAAACGGCAGTTTATTATCAGCACGATACTGTGGCCATCAGTCTACTCGTGCCTTTCCATCACAATGTTCTACCGGTAATGCTCCTTACTGGCCCGACAGCTTTATTTGTGTAAGTAAACAAGTGCTCGAGCACTAACTTATGGTGCACCATCATGTCTGCCTGACACTAACTAACTTACCGCCTTTCCATCTAGCCCCTATCCCATGATACCATAGGTTCGTAGCTCCTGACTGTTTCATCGCCCATCTCACTTCAGTCGACAAAGGTTCCGTGTCCAGCTCTTGTTTGTTTATGTTTGCGCTGACTCCAGCCCCAGTTCTCTCCTCCTTGTAAGAGGAGAAAAAAACCCCAACCCAAATCCAAGTTCAACACTTTTACCCCGTGTAGAATAGTATGATATAATACGGTAAGTGCGATACCAGCACTCTGGCTGTGTCCGTTCGCTCCCGTCTCTTGACCCAACTCACACAGTTCAAAGCGTTGCTGCTCCTGGCTTCCAGCCTGCTCCGGCACATCTCAACCGCAAATTCGTAGACTACCTTTCATCCTTGCCTCCTTCTCTCCCGCTGCGGTGGTCTAGTTCAAGACCCGCCGACCGCACCGCGTGTTTTTGCTTGTCTCACCGATCCTCAGCCGGATGTAGCCAGAAATATATGTCAATAGCACCCCCGGAGATAAATCGAACAAGAAATCTTGGAGTTTTCCTGCTCCTTCTCTCTATTCTATTCCACCCTTCCCCCGGAGCGTGAATTTCCTCTCACTCCAGAACCATCCGGATACCCATCCTTGTCCTTACCGGCTAGCCGTACACACTGTCCCCTTTTGCACGCCACTTTGTGGTGAGGAATTTCGTGAGCCTGTCGTTTCCGGAGGGGACTTCAACTGGTCACCTCACCTCTTCAAAAATAGCTACACAGTAACGGTCTTGTGCTACAAGCCGGAGTGCACCATCTTGTCCGGCCAATTCAGAACGAACATCTAAGGGGATTGGAGATTACAGGGGGTTTACAATCCTTTTTAATTCCATCGGGCCTCACTGCAGACTGTCCTTTTTATTACCGACATCTTCCCTAAGACTTTTTTATCTTCTTTGACAGTTCGCATTCCACTGACAACTCCGCTTACAACAAGAACCAAATCCAGCAGTCAGCACAATACAGTACCTCGAGCACCTGTGCCACCCAACGAGATGCCCGATCATGACGAGACGAAAGAAGCTGGATCCGCTAGTCCAAAAGCCAAAGCACCGGAAGCCGAAAATAATTTGAAAAGGGGCTCCGCCATATCTAGCTCAACTAGGCTCAGTGACGAGGGCGGTGATGGGGAGGACGAAGATTACGAGGATGGTGATGGTGAGGATGAAGGGGACGGGGACGGGGATGGTACAGAGGTTGGTAAACCCAGGGCTCCCCTGTTAAACAAACTCCTTTCCCCACGCCCCTTGTCTGCCCCTTGTCTGCTTCCCTCATGTTCACATACCGTACTCTACAGTACGCTACCATTACTCGTACATATCTATTGCTTCATTAGGATATAAGGCAACAAATGCCAAAGTTTCCCCCTCTCCAGCTAACATGTCTCTATCAAATCTAAAGGAATTCGGCTCGGAAGACGGATTTGCGGATGCACAAGAGTCTTCTGTCACTCCAGTGGCTCCTATACGCCCTTTAACCCGGTTATCGCAGTCAACAACATCCTCCCAACAGGATGCCCAGGGCTCAGACTCAGCTTCTGTTACCTCCCCGACAACAACAAATAAACGTCACAGCCAACAGTCAATTACTCCTGCAACTACTACAAACGGGTCCGTAAATGAAGGCGGTTTCCCACCAGCGAAGTCTCCTCTCAGCCAACGCCGCATATCAACAACCTCCCTAGATGAGGTATCACTTATGGACGAGCTTTCTCCATCGAACGAGCCAATGACCCAAGCAGAAACCCCGTCCACGGCCTCGACTACTTCAACCTCGATAGTTGAATCTATTGCCAACAGATTTTCTAGATCCTCGACGACCAGTTCCCAAACCTCTACAACCACTTCCAAGCCCGCTCTGCCCCCCAGAAACTCCTCCCCGGCGGAAACCATAGCTCCCCCTCCCCCACCTCCAGCGCCCCCTAAAACTGCTCCTCCCCCACCAAGAAGATCCCCTTTTAGTTGGCTTCGTTCGGGCTCCAGTAATGCTGTACCGGTCACCCCACCCCCGCTACCACCACCACCACCTCAATCGAGCTCTAGAAGAGCTACTGCTTCCTCAATTGCAACAGTGGCATCCCTATTCACACCTTCGGCAGTTGCGACACAGATGAACAGTGAATTACTGCTGAACAGAATGGAGTCAAACAGGGGGGACGAGAAGGAAAAGGATGCAGTTTTAAAAGGAACACAAACTTTGAAAGAAAGCTTCAGAAGGCTTAGAGAAGCACGTGAGCGAGCCACTATAGTCCCTAATGATGAGAACACCAAGGAAGTTGGGGGTCAAAGCTTAGTATCATCTACGACAGCGATTGGTACAGGCGTGGGGGGTCCCCCCGCTCCCGAAGATAGCACAATACTAGGACCGAATGGTAGCCAAGAAGAAGAGATCGATTGGGATCTCTGGCAGGCCGTTGTCGATGATTCTTATAAGGTTGCTGCGGAGAAGCCAACTGAGCTCAATCGGGCTATTCAAGCAGGCATCCCCCCTACACTTCGAGGAACCGTTTGGCAAAGCATGGCCGCTAGTAAATCTCTAGAGCTTGAATCAGCTTACCAGGATGTGATCGCTCTCCCGGGAACTGCAACAGCTGAGGATGCCAGGACATTATTTGGCAGCCACTGGCTCTGGGATCCTTCTCCTTCATCTAGTCAATCATCATCGCCGAAGCTTGGCTCAGCTGCGAGTCCGAAGCTTGATCCCACAGGTGTCAAGAGGCCTGACGGCTTTGGGGGAAAGACGGTTGCCCAGTTGGAAAAGGTTATCAGGCGAGATTTGGGTGAAAGGACGAGCTTCGGAAAGTACAAGGTTGACCAGAAAGCTCTAATGGGCGTTTGCAAGGCATATGCATTGTTTGATCCCGGAGTAGGATATACGCAAGGTATGACATTTATTGCCACAGTGCTACTATTGAATGTAAGCAACCCGCCTCCCTGAAATTCCCCCACAGTCACCGCCCGAGTGCTATTATACTAAATGTCTATGCCCGATTAGATGGCCGAGGAAGAAGCATTTTGTGTTTTCGTTAAGCTCATGAACAAGTATAAGCTGCGAACCATGTTTCAAGAAAAGATGAAAGGCCTCGAACTCCGGCTTTTCCAATATGACAGCATCCTGGAAGATTACCAACCTCGGCTCGCGATTCACCTTAAACGCCAAGGCATCGAATCTTCACTCTACGCAGCTCAATGGTTTCTTACATTATTCACATACAAATTTCCATTGCAGCTAGTATTGAGAGTGTTTGATCTCCTATTCAGTGAGGGTCTCGAAGGACCGATCCTAAAATTTGGGATCGTCCTCATGGGCAAAAATGCCGAGGCCTTGACCGGAATGGAATTCGATGCTCTGGGACCTTTCCTGAAAGAACGGCTCTTCGATGTTTATCTCGATACGGCGCCGAGCGCAACAAGTGTTAAGGAGGCGGGATTTTTTGGGAATGGTGGTGAAAAGGATTTCTATAGAGCCAACCAAATGGTCCAGGACGCTTGTGCTATCAAGATAACGCAAGATATGCTTGACCGCTACGAGAGGGAGTGGGATGAGATAATGCGGGCCAAGAGGGAACACGAGATGGAACTCGAAACTTTGCGGAGGACGAACGCTGGTCTAATGGTCAAGGTGAAAAAACTAGAGGAGCAGAATGAAGAGTTGAACAGAGAATATGTCAGAATCGCTAGCAGTGAGGTTGGCTTAAAGGTCCAGAATGACCAGTTAGCCGATGAGAACGAGGTTCTCAAAGCAAAGGTCGAAGGATTGAAAGAAATCGTCGACAAACAACCGCAAGAAATAGAACTGCGTTTCAAGGAAGAAATGGACAAGCTCATGACACGAACTCTAGAAGTGCATACGGAAAACCAGAATCTCGAGGAGAGCATGTTAGAGATGGAAAAGGATTTGGTAGGCACGAAGATGCAGCTAGCTACTGTAAGTCATCCTGCGTCGATTATTATGGACTCTCACTAATTTCTATATACAGGTTAACGAGGACTACGATCTTCTCAAGAACAGATGGAACGATCTCAGGAAAGCACTTGGGGATTAAGGTGCCCCTCTTCCCCCGTCCAAATATCTGTATTTGGATCGTATCCACCCGGTAGTCTATTTTTATAACTACCAAACAAAATATACCTCAGCGATTCCTTTCTGTCTTTCATGCTCCATCGGACACCTGCTCTCTTTCATTACATTCATAAAAAAATTGTGGTTTCTTTGTCCAATAGGCTTTCCCGTCCACTTCCCGATGCCCGATAATGATTACAGAGGGCAAACGAATTTTTTCCAATGTATTGTTTAGTCATTTTCATTGGCCCTGCGAAGATAGAGTGGGGAATTTGGTTTTTCTTGTCGGAGTGACACTCACATTGTCACCACCACTACCGTATTGCCTCATTTATTCATTCACCCATCCCTTATTCAATGAACTGTTTACAAATACCGCTATCATATATCCAGTGTTAAGCATATCACATCACTTTTTTGTTTTCGGTCCTCCACTCCTCATCATGAACTAGATAATGTACTGTACGAAAGCAAATCAGTATACTGTAAGTTAGTTTACCACCGTACCCAATCCATCCTATTCCTACAGCATGATACAGTATCGTACCAGGAATATCGCACTGATCTACGGTACTTGTGACATCTCCCTGACCACTCCTCCCGTATCAAACTATCATAGCCTTCCAAAAGCGGAAAAGCCACGAACCTACGAGTATGAGTACACTACCTACCGTAATCCACCCTTTTCCCAGATCACCCGACCTCCCCCTTCCTTCCTTTCACTAACCCTTTGCAAGTCCACTCCACCCGAACAGCGAGCACGACCCCCAAAAAGCATACGGTATGATACGGCACGACGCAGGAAGCCCGTTCCCGCCTACGGCAGCTGCCAGCGCACAGATTATGGTACGGTACTCGTACAGTAGGGATACCAAAGCGGTGCCTCGGAAGGCATTGAACTCTTACCCACGGCGGGACCTAAAGTACCGGGACGATCATATACGAGTAGCAAGGGAAAGGTACTTGTAAGGGGGGGACTATGATGCTTAGGGATCACGTTATGCGGAGCGACGAAGGGTGAGTTAGTTAGCGCGAGTTGAGCCGCACCACGGGGATACCGTAGAGTGATCCCGAAGTCCTGGTGTTATTGTTTGTGCTTGCATTTAGGGAGGGGGTTGGGAATATTTGTTTGTTTACCGTATTTGTTGTGGTGCTTTGACTTTTTCTTTCTTTCTTTCTTTTTTTTTACCGGGGGCAGGGGGTCAGGCCTGCATAGAGTGAAGAGCGGTCTACGAGTTGTTTGCACGAGTGATTGTTTGTGATGATGCTTTAGTTGTTGGGGGCCTTAAGTTGACTTGTAAGTCAAGCGGGGTGTGGGGAAACAGTACGAGTACCCGTACGGTACCGGTACTCGAACACTGTATTCCAGTAGGTGTTTCATGTTTTTGTTTGGGGAAGGGTAATTTGTCTGTTTACCGATAGATATAATTATACTATGATATCTCGGCTTAGTAATGATTTGGGATGAGAAGGCTGAGATTGCTCCGGGTTTGCACATTCCCGGTAGAGGATGATACCGGTAGTACGGTATGGGATTAAAGAGCTCGTAGGTTGATTGATCGATCGACTTGTGATAAACAACTTTACGCCATAATTTAGATATCGCCAAAAAGGAACAAGTTTTTTTTTTGGGAATTAAGCTAATAACTGCACCCGAGCCCCAAACCTCGATATCATAGCATCATAAACCAAAACCAGAAGTTATTCCTCCACCCAAACGAAGCTAGTCGCGCATCCTGCTCCGATCCGTACATTCCTAGGAGCTGGAATATCTAGGGAAAAAACCTCGCCAATAACATCACCACCCCCGGGCTTCCCACAATTGCCATGTTCTCCCCAGCCCCATGTTATTATTTTTCTTTCTTTTGTGGTTCTGTCCTCTGCGATAGCAAGAGCATGTTCACTGCCCACCGCTATGTCCGTTATACCCTCGAGGCTCGGGGGTGGGAGTTGGCCTTTGTCATTCTTTCCCCATGCGTTGATAGTGCCAGAGGTTTCAAGTAGGTAGACACCGTTCCACGAAGCTTGGATGTCGAGTATTTCAGCTCCAGACCATGATGCGAGTGAATCCCCTATTCGGTATCTATCGTTCCCTAGAATTGCTATGTGTTGGGGGTTGTCTCTGCTCACGAGGATACTGAAGTCCTTTCCACAATCCAACTTGCTGACAGGGAATCCAACTTCTACCTTCCTAGGTCTGGATACTATCGATTGGGTAGGTTCCCCGAGTTGGCCTTTTCGTCCAGCACCCCAGCCCCATACATCCCCGGACGCTGTTAATAGGAGTGTATGTGCCATGCCAGACACCACCTGGATCACTTTTCTAGGTGAAAAGTCGGCAATTTCCTCCAATAATGCGTCGTGACGATCCTCGCCGAGTCCTAATTCTCCTTTCTGGCCTTTTCCAGAAACAAATATCTTCCCTTCATAGTCAATTAGAACTGTGAAACTCCAGCCTGCAGAAACGTGTTCCCACCGGTGGTAACTGCTGATAGGATGAAAGGCAGTTAGCGAGGGGAAGGTAGCCGAAGGAAGGCAGCATTGGTTTCCGGTATTATCTCCCGCAGCAAAGCATTCGCCAGATGGGAAGAGAAGAACAGTATGATTCCCACCAGCCGCGATCACACATGGTGGAACGGACGGAAGAAGCGAGGGAATTAGACAGGGGGTAGGTGTATGGGCGTCCTCGAGATGACCGAGAGATAACTGCCCCCGCCCATTAGATCCAAAGGCGTAGAGCATGCTGGCCTACGGGTGACTTTTTCGGGTTGGGGGAGCGGGGAACATGAGGTTGTTACGATACAGGCTTTCACGTCAACCGTGTTTCAAGTGTCTTTGAGGCTCAACCGCTCGAGTAAGTTTGCAATAGGGTTTGTGCCCTGGGAGTCTGTGACCGCAACATCCGCCCACATGGTGCACAACTGATGACAACCGGAATTTCCCTTCAACGAAATATTCATCCACGACAACAGACGACAAAGCACTCAGTAGCCAGCCACTTTTTCACTCCAACACACCACCCGGTACCGTAACGAACGAATTTTCACGATGGCTACTCCAACTCAATCTGTTCAGTGTTTCGGCAAGAAGAAGACGGGTAATAGTTCCTGCAGAATCACCTCCAAGCTTGGAGTGGAGATCATGTTCGGAGGGTCACTATAGATGCTAACTTGAATTTTAGCAACCGCTGTCGCTCACTGCAAGGTCCTGCCACTTCCACACCCCCCCCCCCCACCTCATCGGACTACAACTAATGCCCCACTAGAAGGGTCGCGGACTCGTCAAGGTCAACGGCTCCCCCCTCAACCTCGTCAAGCCCGAGATCCTCCGTTTTAAGGTCTATGAGCCTCTCTTGATCGTCGGTCTCGATAGATTCGCCGAAGTCGATATCCGCGTCCGTGTCTCTGGAGGTGGCCACACTTCGCAAGTCTACGCTATCCGCCAGGCTATCGCTAAATCAATTGTTGCCTACTACCAGAAGTTTGTCGACGAGCACAGCAAGAACCAGTTGAAGCAGGCCCTCATCACATACGACCGTTCGCTGCTTGTTGCTGATAACAGGCGATGTGAGCCAAAGAAGTTTGGTGGTCCAGGTGCTAGAGCAAGATACCAGAGTACGTGCATTTCCGATTCCGAGGTTAGTATTTGGTGGTGGTGGAGGCTAATAGGTATTTGCAGAATCTTACCGTTAAATGGTATCCGGCTTGGGGATATGGCTCATTGGGGTTTCTTGTATCAATTTATTCTTAAATAAAGACCCTGCGCTGGGTAAGGGACTAAAAAAATTACCAAATTTTTTTTTTTCCGTGTTTCGAGATGGTTGGATTAACAGTTGGGTTTTTCGGTGGTTGTTGTCTTCATTGATTGGATTTATTTGTGGGCCCGGAGTTACTCGAGAAGTGGATCATGGGATGTGCGGTATGATACTCGGCTTCAACTTCCCTTATTCTCATAATAACTCCTTCAACTGGGGTTTATTACCCCCTTCTCCCATCTCAATGGAATCCCAAGCATTCCAACCCGCTTTAAGAGCCCCACATTCCATGTTGAATTGTCCACACAAAATGTTCCCGGAGTCTTCTCCTACAGTACGTGACGTGAGGGGATGTGGTAATATAATTCCCACGCCTCCAATATTGTCTAATTCCTTATTTAAATATTTAATGAAAGCCCTTTTTATTAATTGATGGTTGACTCGTGGGCTAGATGAAACTCACCAGCGAATCTAGCAAGCATTTAACTCAGGGGCTGCTTGGCAGACCGCCATTTGAGACGACTGTCACCTCAAAACGCGTCTTGATAAACACATTTACGAAATTTCACTAAACGTGTTTTGCAAACAATGCCTTAGGTTTTTTTATTGACAATTGAGCATAAGGAAATATCATAGCAAAACTAATACGGCTAGTCTCCTAAACTCTTTCACTATCTACCGACCAAACTATAAGTCTTTTTGATGCTTGTACTAAAATCAAGGTTACAGGAATTTTTGTGAGTTAATAATAGGGTGTAGCAATTAACCTGCAATTACTTCCTAATATTCCCCTATAAATTTATATTATTCACAACCCTAAAGTAAGATAATCCCCAAACGAGTTTTGCAAATGATGACATGCCAAACACCACCGTCATTGCAAAACGCGTTTTGAGATGACCGTCGTCTCAAACGACGGTCAGCCATTAGCCTCCCAAAATCCATTATATCCTTGAGAAGTTCAGTTTGGTCACTACCTATACGCATCTGCCATCCGATACTGTAGCTCTTTTACTCAGCTTTGCCATGTACTAAGTAAATTCAATTCGAAAGAATCCCTGTGAATTGTATGCAGCCGTACCTCGCCCCTTAGAACATCGCCTTGTAAGGTTAGTCCCTCAATTGTTTATCTTCATGAGGACTCTCGTTGGTAACTGCTTGATGAACTCTGTTTTTCTGCTGTTGGTACATGTATTGGTTTCATGATTATACCTTTCCCACCAACCGAGTGGCGTGTGGCGTGCTAACTATACCTTTCAAAACGAGGAACACTGCCTAGTTTGTCTTGAGTGACATTTCTGCGCCTTTTAGAACCAGATGGGTACAGTAAGTTGTAGCCCGGCAAATTTTTTTTCCAGAGTTGCCGAGTGAGGATTTATGAAATCCGAGCGCCAAGCATGTCTGTATAAGGGCTGAACTTTCTATGCCCTAACACAGTCCTCCCCAACAACACAAATGCTGCCCACCTAGAACTAGCGAGACCCACACGGAAATCGAGCAGCGCTCAACACCACCCAACGACGACAATCGACAAACCACCAGGCGCACCGAATTTTCCCCCTGGTAAACCAACAAAGTCGACGCAAACATGAAGCTTAATATTGTAAGATTTTTCCCCTCTGTTTTCGACTCGATTTTTTTGATGTTCCTGGTTTGAACGTGCGTCTAACTTTTTGACAAAATCTAGGCGTAAGTTACACTTCCCCTCATTCAAACAACCTGCATTTTTAGGCGATTCCCCCCGAGTGTAGAATTGGTGGGGGTCTGGGGGGTGGATTAGGGACAAGGTGTGGAGCCACCAAGGCTAACTTGCCTTACAGCTATCCCGCCAATGGGTCACAAAAACTCATTGAAATTGAGGATGACCGTCGTCTCCGTGTCTTCATGGATAAGCGTATGGGACAAGAGGTTCCTGGGGACAGTGTTGGATCGGAATTTGCTGGGTATATCTTCAAGATCACCGGTGGTAACGACAAGCAAGGTTTCCCTATGAAGCAGGGCGTCATGCACCCTACTCGTGTCAAGCTCCTCCTCTCTAAGGGGCACTCTTGCTACCGCCCCCGCAGGACTGGAGAGAGGAAGCGCAAGTCTGTTCGTGGATGTATTGTAGCCGGAGACCTCGCTGTCCTTTCCCTCGTTGTCGTCAAGCAGGGTGACGGTGATGTCGCTGGATTGACCGATGTTACCCATCCCAAGAGACTCGGACCCAAGCGCGCTACCAAGATAAGAAAATTCTTCGGTTTAAATAAGGACGATGATGTATGTTTCCTTCTATCAAGATGGAGGGGGAGGTATCAGGTTGGGAGCGGTGGCTTATTGCATATGGTACAAATAGGTTCGCAAGTTCGTTATTCGTCGCGAGGTCCAGCCCAAGGATGAGGGGAAGAAGCCATACACCAAGGCTCCCAAGATCCAGAGGCTCGTTACCCCTCAACGCCTTCAGCACAAGCGTCACAGAATCGCCCTCAAGAGAAGAAGAGCGGAGGCTTCCAAGGATGCTGCGGTAAGTCTGCAGTCTTCCCTGTGCCACGTATCCACATATACTGACACGGGTATAGAACGAGTACGCGGCTCTCCTCGCCAAACGCGTCCATGAGGAGAAGGCGAAGCGTTCTGAGCTACGCAAACGCCGTGCTTCTTCTATGAGACCCGAGAAGAAGGAGAAGGCGTAAGTGTTTGTAGGTGGTGGTTCAACAAAAAAATAAAAAATTCTTTGGTGCGAATGGGTGGGGTGGTCGGAACTAAACAGTGCTTTTCTTCCTCTTTTTTTCACCTGTACCTTCTTCACTGAATAAAGTGATATTTTTTCATCAATCGGGGAGAAGAGGTTATTTCGTTCCTGGCACGGGGATTGTCTGGGAAAATTGGGAGCGATAATGTAGATCTTTCTGCTTAATTTTCATGAAGCCAAATGGGGGCTATTTTTTTCGGCCGGTATTGATATCGCGGTTGACTTCATAATCGATCACTCGGCTTTCGATTTCAATTTCGATTTCGTTTTGGCCCAAGAACTGAGCATTCATGATTGACTACTCGAGTAATCACAGCATGTAATATGCCCCGTTTATGCATAGTACCCGAAAGCGAGTGCAAAATATTAATAATAGTATTAATCACTTGCCATCACTCGGAAATCTCAATTGATAAAGTATTTGGTTAGAAGGGGAATGCCGAAGAATGATGGTTGGGATATAGGACCGTATGAGGAATATGATCTAGTACACAAATAGACTAATGCTTTGGGCACACAAAGATCATGCGTTGTCGTTTGGTGCGGGTGGGGGCCAAGCTACAAAGAAAGTAGGTAAAAGAATCACCCAATACTATAGACTAGTATAACTATTGTAAATATTAGAACCACAGACTGATGATATAAAGCAAAAGCAGAAAACCAGTGATATTATGATCTATAGTCTTTCTTGGGCATATATTTGTAAAGAAAAATGTGTACTTGACACCTGACCCGGCTGGCTCTTCTCCAAAACCTAGTCTCTAAGGCGATAGTACTCGTATCTGCCTTTGGCCACCTCTCGCTGGCTAGTGACGCCGGAGGTTCGCGGGGTTCATTCACCCACATGATAGACCCGAGGTGGTTCTGTAACAAGAGGTTACGTAGGACCAAGTACTACATAGCCTGGCAAATAACGGACTCGCAATGACGTAGGGTTAGTGAATGTATTCCTAGAAGGATGGCCAATTCACGGGGCGATCCACCGTCTGAACGCCGAGAGCATCTTCCCCGGATCACTTGATCTTGTTGTCTCACACGCTTTCTTCAATCTTACTGATAGTATTTGGTCATTCACAACCCGAGAAGCTACTCGTGAGCATTTATGACCACTTTGCTCTTTCCTAAGGTCATGGGGATCCCTCCTTGTCTGCCCGAGTTCACGGTTTACCTTGTGGTATGATTACATTCTACACAGGGGGGGGGGGAGGTAAGGGATGAAGGCGGGGGAGCAACAACCGTTTTGTGACCTGGTTGGTAGGGTGACTTATTCTGCAGATCACTTATGGCAGATCTCTTCGTTTTCAAGCACTTAAACTATCAGCCCTGCTAACTCGTGCGGTACAAGGGATAATTGACAAAATAACCTAATAATCCCCTGACGCCGCGACAGAGCCTCTCCAAGGGGTTATTGGCCAGGTCAGTGCCCTTTCCTATTTGTCGTTAAATTTTCCTATCATACAAAAACCTCTGCGCCCTGCACTAAACCCGGGAACAGACAAAGGGACAAACATTTTAGCACCAAACGAAGCCAAATCTCCAGCCTTTTACATGAAGCTTTCTACAGTACCGGCACTTCCGTTAACAATAATGTGATATACGGCACAAGATATTTGGTCTCGGCTCAAGCTTCGAGACTACGGTTGGCACTATCGATTATGAGACAGGTGTCATGGCAGGAATATTGGAGCAATTGCTTGGCGGATATCTGCCTAGGTTTAGGACATCCGAGTTAGTGCCCCCACCTTTGTGCTTAAAGGCGGTCTGATATGTCCCCGGCATGGAGAACCCGAAAATTTGAGCCTGAATTTAGCATGGGCCCTCAGATGTGTATAGAAAATTTCTCATACAAAAATTTGCCCCTGTGTTCGGGCTCTACATACCGGGGACTTATATTTGTGATGCAAGTCATAAATTGACTCCCACCCTGATTCCCTCAGACAATCCAATCCTGGTCTCATCAGATTCAAGCCATTCATGAGTGATCGGGCATGATCTGCTTCAATGGTGCAACGGGCGCATGACCATCTACTGCCACCTCGACTGCAGATAAGCCCCTCGTTACGGCACGATGCTTCATCTGTGGTCGGAGCTTGCATGAAAGGAATTCTACGCAACAAAGGGTTTTGGAATGGCAGCTGCTCCGAAGGCGTTCATTATTCTCCCTCCTGTCGCTCGCCTTAAAACCTGAAGGGCTCCTTGCATTCTTTAATACCATAAAAGGCCCCCGATTAGATGTTGTGCACTTTTCACATCCAAACGCAAGCTCCTATGGTCGGGGGGAGAGCAGCTCTAGTCCCTTGAGAAGAATAAAACCCTTATTATCCCGGGAAAATTGGTGGTCAGCTTCAGTTTGGGGAGGGGGGGGATGGGAATCCCCGAAAGTTGAATTAGGAAGGAAAAAAAAGGTGGGGCCCACCTCCACACGCATCGTACCCATCTAAGTTAGTCGCTTCGAGTGCCTTCCATAGACCCAATCAAGTGGTGTTAAACACAAGTTAAGTTTCGTTTCTTTGGTAGCTATACTCGAATAGTCTAACGAAGTCGGGATTCACACCTCTACTCGAGTAGACATCATTCTTGCTTCTAAATTCCGATGCGGAGAACTATTTAGATCAAATTAGCTGCGGTCATCCATACTTTGATATGGAAAGTATCACGGATCCTTCCAGCATCAAGGTGCGAAAATATCCGTAGTAGATCCCGCACAATACGGTCGCCATTAGCCAACAGTCTAGCCTGTTCGGAAAAACCTCACTTTCAGTACCCGAGTATTTTTGGCTGCCGAATCTGTTCACGAACTCGTAGTCTGATGCCGGGGCTCTAGGGCCCGTCTTGTACCCATTCCATATGGAGAAAGAATCATACTCAATCACTCACAATATGCAGTATGTATCTTAATAACGAGCGGGTGGGGCTAGGGAAGCTATATTGCCTCAGCTTACGCCGATAACACGCAACCTATAGCATCCCTCTTAATGGTAATTTGTTCACCCATATCTGTAATAGCGGCAGGAGGGGTATAAACGGATCTCTCGAGATTTCCGGTTCCCCAAACGAAGCTCGACTCCCCTATCGCTACCTAGAATTGTGCCGAGAGACACAGACATCAGTTGTCTCAGGTTATGGTGATGGTGAAACAAAAGCCCAACACCCGAAAATCGCAAAAATACCTTTGGGTGGAGAAGACTAATGCTCAGGGTGGTTCAAAAGAAACGAAATTTAAGCGGGGTAGATGCACACCGCATGTCTTATTAATAGACTGATGGCCAAACATGGCATGATACTAACTCTTTGTGGAGGGGACAGCTCGGGATAATACTGCGGCCGCGGGAAAGTCAGCGCGCCATAGCCTTTCCACCCTAGCCGCTGGATCATGAGTCTCTTCCACGCACACACACATTCTTTTTCACTCATCGTGGTTTATCGTGATGCTGCCGGTAGGCCCTGCAATAGCGTCCAAACCTTCGTTATATTGTTGTGCATGAGAAATTTGGCCCCGCTGGATGAGAGAAAAGGATATGGAAGGTGTGAGACTGGTCTAGGTTTGCACATAGAGTCCATGATACTAGAAATGAGTCCTCACATGAGATAGGCATGCCTTATCCCCTCACGGGCTCCAGCCAATCAGTTATGGAGATTGAGAATCGGAGAGAGTTGGGCACCACATATCCGATCCACCTATCCCTCATCAAGCTCGGCGAGTCTTTGCATTACAACATAATGCTAGAATGTCAGCCCAATTTTTATTCTATTGAGCTGAGTGTTCTATTATCTGATCAACATTCTTTTGGAATTTGTGATTTCAAATTAACTTTTGCCACGACTGTATCTTTTTTTTTTTTTTTTTTTTTTCTATCCTCCTTTGCTTCCGGTCATATGTATTGACCATAAGACTTTGGTGCCCAACAAATCCCTATGATTTTCATCATGTTTCAGCACTCGAAGATTGCTCCGGCGCGTAGGATGTTTCTGACTGATGGTTTCTGATTTATTTATTCTATCGTTTCGCCATTCCGAGCCTCACAGGCTTGTCTCGGGGTCCTAGTCCGTATCGGTCCTTTCGGGCCGTGACCTTCCTCATCCAGCTCTCCGGTAGCCCCTTCGAGGAAAGCCAATTATGCGCTCCCCCTTCTCGGAACCCCCATTTTCGTCGTGAATGAGGGAATCGGTTACCGTACATTCCTTGGTTTTGGATGTATGATAGAGTACCGGTACGGTATATGTGTGTAATTGGTAGGGTAGGTTTCTGGTGAGTACAGTAAAAAACTAACCTTTCCGGGGGTGAGCGGTGGAGAGGTGCACCCCTGCTGGGGCCGATATTGGTGTATCATACAAGTAGTGCTTCCTTTTAAGGTAGTTGTTCCTGTTGGTCGTGCTCGAGCACTCGTAGGGTACCTATCACAGTCAGTTTGCGAGCATCGCGAATTTTGGCGTATATCACCGATTGGTGCACGGTTTGTGAAACGTTGGTGTTTCCACGGTTTTCCCGAGATGTTTAATTGGCGAATGCTGATGATAATAGAATGATTCAGTGGATATTACCTGAAAGCAGTGGTAAGCTACATGGTGTTGTAGCATGGAATACCGTATGATAGCCGTATGTCTTCCTTTCAAGCTTCTGTTGAAGTGGACAAACGTTACTGCGGATGACCCATTCATCCTGGCGATAGGTTGGCCCGTATTGCACTGTACTAGTACAGTGCAAACAAGCGAGACCTTCCAACTTGGCTGCATGGACGTCGATATAAGCGTCGGGCCTGGCCACCGTGGTACGGGACTGTTCCCGGCGAATGGATTACCTGCAGACAATGGGAACACTGTGTGCGACCGACCGGGTCGTGGGTTTTGGATCGTGGGGATACCGGTCTGATAGTAAAACTCCCTTCATGTTTCTAGGTTGTCAGGGTGTCCACTTATCACCAAGGATCGTACTGGTCTGTATAGTCTGCGGTACAGTATTCCAGTGGAGAGAGACACCATGGATACGAGTGATTGATGGTTAGGCTTTTTTCTCTCTCTCTTTCTTTTCTTTTTTTCCCCTTCCCTCCCTTTCCCACATCTCCACAAACGAGGCGAATATATGATTGGCGTTTGTCTTGTCAGAGTTTTGTGGAGTAGGTTGAGGACTTTGCTTGCTTCTTTTCGGCCAGCAGGTGGTACGGTACTACTGTACAGTCCTGTACTCGTACTGCACGGTACAAGTACGAGCACACTCCAAGCATGCATTTCCAAAAAGAAAAAATGTTATATAACCGACACGGGTTTCTACGTATCCCACTTATTTTTTTTTGAACCCCCCTCCCCCCTTGGCCTTGTCAATAGCCTGTTGCGAAGTTATTCAGTCATGAAGCTCTGTAATCTACCGGTGGTAATACTACACGAGATTCTCGATCATGTATTCCCTTCCCTTCCTGCTCTCTTCCTCATAGCTGACTCAAGAACAGGTATCAACACCAATAGACCTCTCAAACCTCACGCTGACGAGTAAATGGCTTCAAAATCTCGCTGCTCCACGACTCTACAGACGACTGGAATTCACGCTATCGTCCACAACACAGACCATGAAATTCTGCGAGTGTTTGCTGATGCAGGGTAGAGGACAGGACTGGCGACACTGGACGCGGAGCATGCGTGTGAGTGATGAGATGCGCTCGGGGTCCGGCCGGCGGAGGAGTCCTATTTGGAGTGGACTTGCCGGAGTATTGGATGGGTTAGCTGGCTGCGGGCTGGATGAATTTGAGTAGGTTTTGTTTTTCAGTTGAGGAAAGAAAAGTATGGATTGACTTTAGCTAGCTAGATGGGATTCCCGCGATGTCCCGCCCCCAATCATCGTTAAATCACTACTGAGTTTGCGCTCGCTGCGCAGTCTAAAGCTGGAGATGCCTCTGCGCTCTCAAAACCACTTCTTCTTGGAGAGACTGGCCGTGGCCCACGCGGCATATCTACGGTCTATGCATATCTGGGGGATACAAAACGACGGACAGATGAATCGGGTCGGGAAGACGGTGGGTTTCGCTGGAGAATTGAAGGATTTGAGCCTCTGTGTGGCAGCAGATTGTGATTGGGAAGACGATGAAGACGAAGACGAGGAGTATTCCTCCTCCTCCTCTGAGGCAGGCGGGGAGAGGGAGATGGAATCGGAGGAGAGGAATAAATGGATGACCCTACCAACTGGCGTTCACAGTACACTGTCAAGCATAGAACTAAACGGCCTGTTCAACCTTCGTGATTCGCTTCACTTCTTCAACCCTGCCACCCTCCGGCGTCTGGAGCTTCGCCAATGCACCGGCTATAATTCCCTCCTCCGCGTCCTCTCCTCCCATCCCGACATCAGAAACATGGAAGAAGTGGTTTTGGGCTCCTGGGAGAACTGCGACATCGCCCGGGTCTCGGAATTCATCTACTCCTGTCCAAAGCTCAAGATCCTTCTCCTGTCACTAAGCTCCTACGCGCTCACAAACGATCTAATGCGTAGCATACTCCCAGCGGTAGAGACCTCGAGAGCAACGCTAGAAGTCCTACTCCTAGACTTCCGCCACCAAAGCAAAATCGGCAGCACAAGAGACAACAACACCAACAACGACACCTGCGTGGACAAAACCCTCTACCAGAGCCCCCGCTGGCTATCATCCATCAAGACCTTCCCCCGGATCCGCGAATTAGGCGTGAGCATCGACCTAGCGGACCTAACCTCCCTGCCAGAAATCTCCACAATCCTACCGCCCGACATACGAGTCCTGGACCTCCGCTTCCCGTGGCAAACCGTCGAACGCGACCGCGCCCTGCGCACCGCGCAGATTCAGTCCCTCGTCGACGCTTCGCCCGACACTTCGCGCCTGAAATTGGTGATCCTGGGCGATGGAGACGATTACGATGCGTGCACTTCCTATGAAGTTGTCCGTGACGCGGAGGCGGCGGGCGCAGTTGTCGCGCCTGCGAATGGGCCCAGGGGGAGCATGGTTGCTGGATGCGATCATAAGTTGTACAAGCTTAGAGGGGATTGTTTTTTTATTTAATTCAATGGGGGTGTGCCGTCCGCAGTGTTTCTCAGTGGTGGGGAGAAGGCTCCGGTAGGACAGGGGGCTTTTTTTTCTTTTTTTCCCTTTTTCACCTCCCTTTCCCCTTTTCCACAATAAATCTTTGTTTGACGAATCGAATTAGCGCTCATGGGTTGTCACTCGGAATCATCAAGATTTTCTTTCTTTCTTTCTTTTCTTTTTTCTTTTTTCTTTTTTCCTTTTTCCCCTCTTTTCTTTTTTCTTTTTTGGTTCAGATCCCCCCAACTTTTTTTTCGTTTTCACTGAGGGTTGTGTTTTGCGTGCGTGTGTGCGAGGGAGGGAGGTGGGAGTGAGAGAGAGGGGATAAACCAAACAAATGCACGCTGTCCCATCAAAACACTCGAACCTTGTCAATCTCAACGTATCACTCGTGCAGTGCGGTAATCATCAGATGAACCCCCCTGTAGTCCGGTGCCATATCCTGGAATCTGTGAGTTTGAGTTATGATGTTATCATATCCGCCCCTCCCCTCCCCCCCCCGGAAGTGAAGACAGGGATGAGGGGATAAAGGGGATTGTCGTCCTGCGGGTATCGTATCGTAACGAATCGTATCGAATCTAACTTAGATCGCCCACAACCTGGGGGCGAAGATTTGCTTTTTGAGCTGACGGGCCGTGTTCGTCCTGTTATTTTACAGGCATGCGATTTTATCCATATCGTGCTCGTAATGTAATCTAATTCGGTGGGATGGGGTATCATACCGGTATCGGTATTATTCTTATTATGGGTGTTATAGCATGGTGGCCAAACTTATCATATGACCTGTGTTATGATATCAAGTCAATTATATTGCAGGCACGGTAGGTCATTTCAGCGATAGTATTTGTAGTGGTAGTGGTAGATACAGTATCATTAAACCAAGTTAGGCTATGGTATCCACTGAAGCTGATATGTATGTACTGTACGTGTGAATCGGAATTTCCGTTTCCTTTTTTTTTTTTCATCCAGCACCGTAGTGTGGTATACTCGAGCAATAGGTAGGCAGGACTCCTTGCTTGGCCGGTTGTTTGTTTGTTCCGTTTCAGCATGTCTATGCGCCTATCGATCCATCCGTCTATCTAGTGAATCCTATTACCATCCTCTTTCCCTCGCCGTCATCTCATCTCCGTCACCGCTTTGACAAAGAAATGGTGGGGGAGGGGGAGTAAAAAGGAGCAGCAGTGGAGGTTGGAGAAGAAGGAAAAAAAGAAAAGGAAAAAAAAAAGCATTAGCCAATAACTCCAGCAGTAGGAAAGTGTTCAGCAAAGTAAAGTCAGTCAAGCAAAGCACAGGAAGAAAAAAAGAAGAAAAAAAGAAACAGCAAAGGCAGTGATCCATCAGATTCATCGCGATTGGATGGATAAAAGCCAGAACTGGGATGGGAAAGCAACAGAATCTGCATGCGAATGACAATTCCGAGGCTTCGGTTGCAGAAAACGGAAGGGCGGGACAAGAAAAGCAAAAAAAAAAAAGACTTCACCTGATGGTCTCTGCGCTATCCTTTTCAATTCCTTCGAGACCTTCCAGGATATCACTTCCCCCGAGGACCCCCCTCCACCTGAGAACCCCACGCCTGGTTTCGCTCCAGACTTCATGAAATCTGACAGTCTCGTCGCTTGCAGCTACGACGATGCATCCCTCGACTCTATTCGCGTGCTTATTTCTCTCTCGCGATCCTCCAGCTTCCCTGCGACGCCGGCCGCCACCTCCGGTGACGATGGATCCACCAACCGTGCTAACATCCTCCAGAATGTTTTCCGTGTCTTGGGATGTGACAGCTGAAGAACCGGGTGGAAAATCGTCATTGGGGCCTCCTGGGTAGGCGACAGCATATAGCGCTCTCATATCCTCCTGCCAGGGTATCTGGACCACCTGCCTACACTCGGGCCAGCTGAAAACCGCAATGCGAATGGGATGCTCAGGATTAGCGTATCCGAGTGTTGCAGCGATCTCGCGGTGGCTGTTAGACCAGAGAAGCGATGTGACTTGCGCAGAGACATTAATAGTAGCTAATGTTGCCCCGGAAAAGGTGTGGAAGAAATGGATACAGCGATCATTGGAACCACCACCTGTAGATACCAATTTAGCAAGTCCAATCCAAATAGGGGGGCACAGTGGTTGGATCATACCTGTAGCAAGCAAGCTTCTTTGCCATGGGCAAAAGGCAATCGCTTTGACGGCCGCCCCATGGGCCCACCTATGCTTTTCTCCACCTTCAAGAGGCGTAGCTTCATGATTTCTCACACCTCCACTACGGTTGCGGGTTACATCCGCAGTGCTAAAGAGACAGGCTACATTATCATTGCCACCCGTCGCGAACTGTTCTCCGTCCCCGCTCCACGCTAACCCGCAAATCTGCTGAGAGTGAACGACAATCCTCCGGAGAAGCATGATAGATGCATGAGATGCCGGCGCGGGAAGGCCCTCGCGAAACTTTCCCCACTCAATCGAGTAGTAGTAAACGTTACCAAACTCATCGCCGACTAGCAGTTCCTCAGTCTCAACCACTGTCGGGGGGGACGATTGGGAACGACCGTCACTGGAAGAAAAGCCACTGCTAGGTTGTAACCCTAAATCTGGACGGTAGGAGACGATAGGTTTCCAAGCAAAACAAGCGATCCCAGTATCGTGTGTTCGTTCAAGCCGTGGGGTGGGCTCCGCCGGGTTCCAGAGGCTAAGCGAGCCATCGATCCGACCAATCGCTAGAATGTTGCGCTTCCCTTGGAAACAAGAAAAAGCCAGAGCAGTAACGTGAGAGTTCGACCAAGCCTCGAATGGCCGAGCTCCACTAGTCTCTGTCCAACTGTATACGTCCGTGTGAAGTCCAACAACCAAAGAGTGTGTAACGGGGGAGTATGCAATGAGCGAACAATAATAATCATCTCGGAGGCCTGGAGCATCTAGAACCCTGAACGGGGTAGTGGGGATAGCTCTTCTAAGGCATCTGCGGGATGGAGAGACTTGTGGTGTCGAATCACCTGAGGTGGGATGCGTTAGAGGGAGAGGGGGACACTCGAGGAGGGATCATAGCAAAGGGGGAACCCACGGCCTTCCGCCTCCAATACGCCCTCCCAAAGCACATCACTAACAGTCTCACTTCCAGGGGCACCCATTACCCCTCCCTTCCTCCCATGACCATCCCTAGTTGGTTCATTCTCACGGGCAAAACTCAGCACTTTAGCACTTCTATCCACTCCCAGAGCGGCGGAAAGCCTCCTCTGGTGTCTTTCCATGTCGACCTCGGGACTTGTTTTATTGCCGAAAACGTTTATGGTCACTTCCCTCCCCCTCGGTCTGGGCTCCTCCCTCCTGGGCGCTGCACCAACACCTATGCCAAACACTCCAACAGCGCCAGCACTGATCCTCCTATTCAAGTTGCCGGGTCGGTAGTTGATTGGTGAGCCACCGGCGTTTCTACCATTAGGGCTATTGCTCAGATTGTTGGGGGAGATGCTACGGTTGGTAGTACCGCTACTAAGACTCCTTCTTAGAAGTCTCTCGTTATTGGAGAGTAGGTGCGCCGGTGCACTCATTCGGAAACTCTGTATGTTGGCTCTGCTCGGGATGAAGCGGTCGGGAGAGATTTTGGAGGATTTGGAGGATTGTGACATCGATCGACCGTGAGACACACGGGAGAGCCCAAACATACGGAGGGCCTGCGACGTAGACGGCGAGAGGCGGGGGCGAGCCCGTGGTGGTGCTTCATTGTCTGAGATGAAGGGGTCATGCTCGACTTCCAGTTGTTGGCTTGCTGAAAAGGGGGAGGGGGAGGTAGGAGCAGATGGGTACTGTTGAGGACTAGTATCCGCTTGGGCACGAGTGGTGATGACCGGAGTGAGTGGTAGAGATGCCATCGGTGGATAATTGGGGGAGGGGAGTGAAGCCCGGAGCAAACTCAACTAAAAAAGGGTAGTGGGTAAGGGAGTAGGGGGAAATGTAAGAGGGGATGGAGCGTGAGTCCATCCATGCTAGGAGGGAGATGCGGGTTTCGAGTGCGGGGGGGGGGCAGAGGTAGTGACGAAGCCAGAGGAAACATTCTTAGCGGTGCTGTTCGAGGGGTGAGCTCTATACTCTCTATCACGGCATACCTTCCTCCGAGATGGCGTATGCCTCGAGTACCGCAGTGTTTCCTCCATCTTAGTCAGTAAACTAATCACACTTGCTCACTCGCACAATCATAAAAGGTCGATCACAAATAATAATAAAACTAGATTCACAGAGCACTGGTTTTTGAAGTATGATGTGGCACTGCACAAAATGACTTGATTCCCCTGAGAAAAACTGTTTTTTGTAGTTGCCCTTGCTCTGATATGATTGAATGCCCATCGACAAATTATACCGAAAACTCCAGAACAATTCATTCCATTTCAGATTCTCGATTCTATTCTATCGAGCGAGGGGATTACCACATCGCCACAAATGTAATTCCAGACCCCAAAACAAAACAACAAAAATTCAACAAAAACAATCCTGCCAGTTACTCAAAGCATCAAGTAGCTCCACCCCCTCCCCCTCCTATCTGTCACACAACGTCACTACGCAGCCCCACTCTCTCAATCAATCATAATCTCTCGCTCGCATTCCACTCCAACAGCCAGACCTACCCCACTTAACAAACGAAAACCCATGAACAGTACAGGAGCACAAATTCATCTGTGATATCCCCCTTTTGACCAAACATCTCCTTTGAAACCCCCCTCTTGCGACTCGAAAACTTTGTGGTACGCCTTCCCCTCGACCATATGTGTCCTCCCCCTGACCGAACGCCCTTTCAATCCCCCCACACCTCCCCCACCTTCTCCACTCCCTCCACTTCGATCCCTGATTCAACACCCGCACCACTGCCGACTACATCCCCAAACACCCGTCAGCGCTCACCACCCAACCCCGCTCAAATGCAAATAGAACAGGAGCAGCTAACCGTCTATATGCACAACCATACAGTGCAAATCAGAAACTTCCAAAGGGAACTCCAGTGAACATTGCTATGTGGGAGAAGAGGAAGAGTGAAAAGAAAAAGGAGCAATATCTGCTACGAAAGGGTTAGCTATGGGAATCAATGTGTAGGAGGAGTAATATTGCGTAAATCGCTTGTTGCAAATGACCACTGATGACGGTGGTCGGAGGAGAGAATGTATATGATGAGCACCCGGTGATCTCTGATAACGGTAATGATCCCGCATTGCTGTAGTTGTAGTTATTGTTGGCGGTGTCGGTGTCGAACGAGGTTTTGATTTATGTTTCGTATTTGCATCTGTCTGGTGCATATCGTATTATACCGCCGTCTAGAATCCAAGAGTCGTCTAGAATCCAAGAGTCAGTCCCCTCCCCACGAACATCAAACTCACTCATCATATACTACTCACCCACTCCCCTCCTATAGTACCAATCCTCCTCTTTCACCACCAGCAAACAAACTGCTATTACCCCAACCGTTCCATAAGAATAGTCGCTGTTGCTGCTGCTGCTGCTGCTGCTAATGCTGCCGAATTCCAACATCATCCCCGACCCAGATGGAACCCCCTATTTATCCTTCCTCCCTTCCCTCCTGAAGTTGAGCGATTTAGCCCACCCCTCTACCTGCCCCACCACCCGCGACAGGACGATACCTAAAATCCCCAATTCTTAGGTTCACCATATTCACAACGTTACCCACCAACCCATACTTGTATTGTATACCACATGGCAAAACCTAAATTCCTAACCGCCAACTCTCCGCCAGGCTACCGGTATCATCATAATATTATGATATCACATTCTTTGTGGTGCGTCGTGGCGTTGCCGGTGTGCCGGGTAAATCTACGTTAGTAACACGAACAGCACTTTGCCAAAACCTTAGGTTGGAGTTTAGGTTAATAGTTCTTGGAAGGCTTCGCCAAGACATCTACAAACTTCTTCTATCTTAACTTTCTACTGGCACGCTACTCATATTATGACCCGAGGTGCTATTAAAGTTATAATATTTGCATGATAGATACTAGTAGTAGCGATTAACAAAGACATCAGGTTCCTGGAGCACCACCACATCTCACCGACCACCTAAATTACAAGGAGTGAAGTTATTTGTATCATAAAAACCACTCATCACGAGGCCCAGTCCCCCCCCTCTTCCCCCGTCTCTAGATAAAGAATCCCTCCTCACTTCCCACGACACGCGCCTTCGCTCCACTACTTCAACAAGTGAACCCGAATGTCCGTCCGTCCAACCATATGATACGATACCTCAATTAACAAGCGCCACATAAAATTAAAAGGTTCGACTCAACCCACCTTGCGAGCAGAAGGTTATCGCAATAAGTTATTGTATCATGCCTGGTAACTCCAAAGCCCACCTCCCCCCCCCCCCCCACTTTTAATATCCCACCAATACCGGTAGCATGTGTGGTTATGGTAATTAAAAAAAATTCCGTCAAATATGGTATCATATCATGCATACCGTGCTAAAGTTATCCAGCACAGCACACAGCACAAGTGAAAACAGCACTTAAATTTATATCATACCATACCTCACGATCGATCGACCCCCTTGCCAAAAAAAAAAACCTCTATCATACCCCATCGAGCAACTCGAAAGTTCCAGCTGCCTTACTGAAGTATTTATCATCGGTCGCACCAGGTCTCACACTACTTACCCTTCCTTCGCTCAGTCTACAATACCGATTACCGGTATCCCCTCTCTGTCCGTGGGCCGTGCAGGAGTGTGATAACTGAACTTCAACATCGCCCTACTCTATCCCCTCCATTTATGCTGCACGGTGTGATTCTCCGCAAGGGAATTCTTGCCCGTAGCCGGGACGACGACGTCATACGTGGTTTCCCTTTTTTGCCGATGCCCTACGGTGTCTAGGGACTCGTATTTTTTCTATAATAATATTATTATGATAATAATATTATATCTCTTGTGTGTGGGGTCCACTTGCATGATATATGATATGCTATGATATCATACCACACTCGATACCTTGCCCCTGCGTTCTCGGGTGTGGGGGCCTTGGCTGGGGGTTGCTGTTCTGAGGTTTAGGGTTGTTGTAGGGTTGTTTGAGGGTGGGGGTTGTGAATTGAGGTTTGGACGTGCAGTACTCCTCGAGTATTATTGCACGGGCGCCTAGCATAAACATAATACCCAGAGGATGGTGGGTCTGTGGGATGCGCTAGGATTCGGACTTTAAGTGTAGAATGAGCGGGTAAAGGCTGGGCTGAGCACCGGGGACGGGTACTGTACATGAGTTGATAGGCTTTATATATGTGCATATAAAGACCAACTACTGTAGCTACATACGCCCCACCCATTCAACCAAACCACCGAACCAACAAAACCGGGGAAGGAAAAAAAAATAAGGAAAAGGAACAAAAGAAACGAATATAAATTTTGCGCCCAGCAAGTCCGAAATAAAAACAAAACAAAACAAGGGACAAAAGGAACAGGTGCGTGAACACCAAGCAGAGCGTTAGTGGTAGTAGTAGCAGTAATAATGGGAAAATAAGTGCTTTGGCAAAAAGAATAAAAGGTAAGAAGTGAAAGATAAAATACACTATGAAGTGGATAAAGTAGCCTAAGAGTGGATATAGTATAAATAAATAAAATAAAAAAGTCGCCCCCCCGCAATTCGCCCCGCAGATATAAAGACACAAACAAGAAAAGCAAAGCAGAGAAAATGAGAAAGACGGTGAAGCGCGGTGCGCGGGAAATGGTGAAAAGGAGACAAGTATAAACCAGATGAAAAACCCCAATACCGGCCCTTAACGATAACGATATCTCTGAGCGCAAGACAAACAAGACAAAACAAAAGTAAAAGCAAAAAACACCTTTCCGAGTAAGCCCACCTTCTTCTACTCCTCAGCAACACTCGAAACCTCGCTTCTCCTCGAATCGCCCACCCACCCAGCATGTCCATGTCCCCTATCACCTCCCCTATCACTCCCTCCATCCTTAACTGAAGACCGACTCTGCTTTTTGCCAAGCTTCAACATTGAGAACCGCTTTCGGACGCTTCCAACGCCCCTCTCCATGGAGTTCACAATCCCACTACCGCTACTCCCCGGCGGGCGACCGCTACTAGTACTCACCCGACTCTTGGTAACCTCTTCATGGTAATTGTCCATTGGCGGAATGGGTGGTGGGGGATGTGATTCGGAATCATTGCGACGTCGACCAAGGGATTTACTTCTTGAGCGGCTGCGGGAGGTGCTTGCTGTTCTGCTGGTGGTTGATACGCTTCCGCTGTGGGAACGTGAGGAGGAGGTTTTAGGTGGCGCGGGGAGAGGCTGGAAAGATTCTTTTCGGTGATGGTTATGATTGTTTGTGGTTGCGGTTGTGGTTGCGGTTGTGGTTGCGGTTGTAGTTGCCGTTGCCGTTGCCGTTGCCGTTATGCTGGTCAGGATTCCGTCTTTCGCGTGGTTTGTGTTCGCGCCAAAGATCATGTTTGCTAGACGGCCGCGAGTGCTACCGACGACGCTTGCTGCGTCTTCGGCTATCGAGGGAGCTGTGTTAGCCACTCTACTACCAACGAGAGGGGTCGGTCGGGTGGTGTCTATTGGCTTCGGTAGCGGGGTTGGGGTTGATGGGGAACAAAGTGGTGTTCTCCATTGGCCAGGGCTGATAGGGATAGGTGGTGGAACAGCGATTAGAGCGAGTGCAGCTATCTCAGCAGTGTAGTTATTTTCAAAGACTATCCCATTGTTAGTTTAATATCGATCAAGAAAAAAGAGAAACATACGTCGCATCATATTATCGTGCATAGGCCTCAACGGATTGGCTACCAGTTGACCATGAACAGCAAGACATTTCTTCAACACAAAGACGTAATCCAGTATCGCCGTCTTCAAAGCATTCCGCAGCTCAATTGCAACCCTCTCATCGTTAACCAATTCTCTATACCCTCCAACCCCACCATTGACGGGCGAATCCACAGCTCCGGTAAGACTCATACTTAGCGGGTTCAAATCATGTCCATCTCCGCCTTTCATATCAGCATATCGTTTCTCGAGTAGCGACAATTCTCCAGTCTTCGCAGTGACCGCTTCAATTGCATTCTCAACAGGACTAACCGTCACGGTAGAAATACTCAGGATCTCAGATCTCCGCAGAATAGTTGGGAATCGCTCAGCCGTGCTGTATACCGTCTTCTCGCTCCACCAAGATGAAGGTCGCCCCGCATCATTCCCGGGCAATGGCCTCGAGGAAAAAAAGGATCTTGGCTGCTTCTGCAGCAAAAACGACCTCGTATTCGGGGAAACCTTGGTCTTCTGGAAAACAGGATGCATAACATCATGTTCAGGCTCGACAGCAGTAATATGGATAAACTGTCCCTCAACACTATCAATCTCGCCAGAAGCGACAATCTTGGCTGCGGGGTGTTGCTGTTGGATCCTGTCCGAAAACTGCGCGAGTTTCTCCCAGTGGTTACCCTGAACAATAAACTGGCGATCCCGCAGACCGATCGGGAATCCCATACCCAAGTACGCCACCCGGAAGAACTGGGGACTTAACTTGTCGCCATTGAGAATATCTTCGTGAATCTTTGCCATAGCTCGATGACATTTACCCAGCTTCGCATAATCAAATACTACATTCTCATACTGGTGCGCCAGTTCCTTATACGTATCCAACGCGTTCTCCCAGCTCTTGCCGTCCTCAAATAATTTTATCATTTCCAGGAATAGAGCTTCTCTCCTTTCGAATGCCGTCTGGTTCGGGAATGGTGGGTCGATTAAGGCCGAGACCCTCTCACTCATATCCCATGGATACAGGTCCGCGTGAAGTTGTAATGCCAGGCCCGCCTCGACGTAATTCTGAGACTCTAGTTGAACACTAACAAGTTGATGAACATAGCGAATAAACATATCTTCCTTTCGCATATCCTTCAGGAATTCCATTAATCGGAGGGTATCCATAATATGATACGCTTCTCCCAACGGCGTATTGTGAACAGCAACCAACAGATCCAGAAACTTATCAATGGTATGTAACAGGTCCCGAACCTTGACCGTAAGGGGGTCATTAGGAATCAACGACAGCGGCTCGAAGAGCTCAATCAAGTCAGCGATAAAAAGTTTCTGAGTAATGCTTTCTGTAAGTTTCTTTGACTTGAAAAGTCGATCCAGGCTCTACGATAATTCATTAGCACCGATACCACTTTATAGAATCGAAAGGCACATACATCAATCATTTCTGCTTGAATAACACTCAAGTCCTGACTCAACGTCCATTCGCTCACCACCATCGTCTGCAGCACCTCCACCGCCACACTCCTCAGCCCCTCGTGCACGCTCAAGCAGAGCTCAACAATAGGCGCCACCAATCCAGGCACGTATTGCACTTGATACCCACCCATCTTCTCAATGCCAAACCTCCTCTTATCCTCACTACCAGTCTCCCAGCCAATAGCCTCCCATGTTCTTCTCAGTAGATCCGCTCCTTGCTCCCTGACATCCCCGGCGACTTTCCACACCGCCCGTCTCTTCTGCTCCGGAAAGGTTTCCAATGCCAGAGCCTCCGACCCAACAAGCATCAGCAATGTCGTGAAGAAAGCTTGCCAAAGCTCCGTGTTGAACTTCTCTGCATCATCCGGGTCCGGCAGAAACGAATCCACCAAAATTCCTGCCAACGTCTCCAAGGTCCGCATTGTTGACTTGTGCTGATAGATATGCACACTCAACCATGACTGCGGGAAAGCGTCACACGAGAGAATGCTCATATGGACCTGTAGGTCGTCCATTAGAAACTTTGCCAAGTCCTCTTCGCTAAGATCTAGATGTAATCCAGTAGGAATGCTCGATACCGCAGCCAAGATAGCGGCCAGTTCTATCAGCGCCTCATCGAATACCGGTCGCCCGGGTATGTTTTTGGTGGGGAAAGGATAAGTACGGGGGAATAGTAAGGAAAAGGTCTCCCTTTCACGTCTTCCAGTAGCCTGAATCGCGCGATAGGAATCAACAATTTTGGGAATATACTCTGATACCTCCTCCCCAAGCTCTTCAACCTGAGCGGCGAGAACACTGCAGCAGAGCCGAACTTGGTCCCTCCATTGTCCAGTTACATCATCAGTCTTCCCCCAATGTGGGGCTAACCACCGCACAGTGTTCAGCGTCAAAGCCCGTCGGTCCTCCGGCTGAGAAAATAGCGAACTCCGCGAGTAATTGATAATCAGGACCAACTTGTAAAGAACTAGCTTCCCCTTAACATCCGAGCAAGCATCCATAAAGTCAATAGCAACTAATAATATCTGCTCCCGAGTAACCAGCCCCGCCATCTCGGGCAACCAAGTATGGAAATGCTGCACAGCAAGCGTCTGACTGCCTACCAGCATAGCAGCACCATTCCGCATGAGGTTCTCCAGCAGCTTGAATATAACCTGAAGATCCTTCGTGAACGTCTGATTCCCGCCGCTGCCGCCATTTAGCCCGATAGTCGCCTCCTTCACAATCTGCTGCTCCCTTGCCTTAGCGATAAACTGGAAAATGTGTCGTCCAACCTTAAATGTAGACCGCAGTCTTCTTGAGCTCTCGGTATTGGTGGGATCCTGTAATAATCGAGTGAAAGACCGCAATAGACACGATGCAGCGAACGGATAATCGAAATGCTTCTCAGCATAAACATCCACAATAGGCTCCAAATGGAATCTCCGATCATAGACGATCCCAAGAACGGTGACGAGCGCGATAAAAACCAGATCCTCCATCTCCGTCTTTTTGGCATACTCGACCAATATCCCAAACAGGGCATCGAAAACCTCCCGGAGCAGTTTAACGACCTCCATCTCAGGAACGAATACAACCTTCTTTAGCAATGCAATCAATTCAGACTCCTTCATATTCTTCCACTGCAATAGTGATAGCAAAACATCGTTTTGAGAAAACTTAGTACTGCACAGGTAGGTTTTAACCTTTATCGTGGCAGCCGTGCCCCCCATTGACAATGCCGCCGCCCATCCTTCACCCCCAGGCATCCAAGGCTGATTCAGATATCCATTACCATTCCCTGAAACAGTTGATATCGGCGAAGATGTCCACTCGTCATACTTGTGCAACAACAGTGAGTAATCCCCATCCCTCAAGAAAGCTCCCTTATCCCATAGCGGTAACCACGCCAAGGCGGTAGGCGCATGCGGGACACCCGAGAGAACCATGAACAAGTGAGCACTGGGAACGTCCTCCTCATCCAAAGCAAGCCTAATGGTTTGATTCCACGATTCGTCCCTGGCGACAACAACGGATTTCCAAACGGTTACTCCCGGGATGTTTGAAGCCGAAAATATACAATCCTTAATCCTCTCCCCGTTCGGCCTCCGGACTTCGAGCGATATCTGAAGAGAATTGAAATGCGACGACGCCGGAAGAGCACAGGAACCCAACTTCGGATGAAGTAATAATGCGTGTCTTGGCAAGATCGGGTTCCCAAGAGTAATGTATATATCAGACCTGGGCTTTGTTGGCGCTCCAGAAAAGCCAATCTTCTGTGCACAATTGATATTGTGCAACAAAGTGGGCGTAGCCTTAATCAGTGAGTCCGCATCAGGAGATGTAAATGGACGAAGATAAAGATGGAGGCGATCCGCCTTTGGTGATTTCTCACTATGCAATCGCATATCAGCAGGCTGATCATCACACAAGGACTCCACCCCCAGCGCCTCGGGAACCGACAATTTCCCTGTTCGGGACTCAATAACATCTCTAATCAGCCTGTCCCAATCCTCGCCGTCTCCAGGCTTTCCGCCGCCCTTTTCCCCAACTGAGCCCCCATAGCTCTTCTCCGTGCTACCGGCTGCCGACCCCATTCCCGCCGGAGCGAATATCCTTATAGCCTGCTCGATGGCTTGGTCCTGCCTTACAAACCTCCCAACATCGAGAACCCCCACTCCTAGCGCTCTCTGGAACGTCACTCGCTGGGGCATCTGTCGCGCATTGTGTGTCGCGACCATCGGTGAGTTTGGTAGTGGAGGGACAGGATGGGGGGGAAGATTCTCATCGTTTGCACGCGATTCGGTCGGTGAGTCCTCGTTTCCTGATGTCTTCGGCCTTGGACTAAACAATACACTCACCCTCCCTTTGGTCCTCTGCTCGCCTCTAGCGGGTAACGTAGCTCCATTCATGGCTGAATGCTTGATAGTTCCAAACGTGGTTTCCGAAGGTGCTGCATGGTGGCCCTTGCCGGGTGAAGTAGCCGGGCCGGGAGCAACCGACATGGTGGAATAAACTCTAACAACCAAAAACATGTCCTCCATAGCATCCCGGGAAGAAAGGTCGGTGAAGAGCGTCTGCATCTTGCCCAAATTATTTGAATCCAACGGTGTTCCCTGCGCGTTGAGAGATACTGTGAATGATTCCGAAATGGGTATATTTTGTTTGGTAGACAGGTAAAATACGAGCGTAACCGGTTCATTCGCCATTCCAACAAAAGCCTTATGCTCCATCAATAAGTGATGCAGTGTTATTCCATCCTGAGAAGGAGTAGGCGGGTATTCTAACAACGACATCTGCGACTGCAAGGTAGTGATATCAACACTAGAGTCATCTCCTGTCAGTATCCTCCCAGAGTTAGGATCCCGAACAATGATCTCCCGGGAGAGTAGCCTATTCCCCCTGACGAGCGCCCAAACCGTGCTCTCCCTGGTGGCCACCAATTCCGCCTTTGTCAGAACACTATGTAGCAACCGCCGCCGAGACAGGTCGAGCTGGTGTACCAGGGAAGAGATCTCGTCAAGAAGTGGATACTCGCTGTTTAGCAGCAACTCGTGAAGATTCGCCGCATGCCACTCCCTAAGACAGGAGGCAATCTCATCCACCAGAGGTTCCGATTCGAACGAAGACGACTCGTCACCGACCTTCAACATGGGCACTGGGGCGGCCGGTCGCGGGCGATTATGACCACCCCCGCCGGGGTGCCTAGGCGGGGGAGTAATCGCCATCGAGCGGCGATTCTTCTTGGAACGCGAGGACTTTGTCCGGGCAACCCGACCATTACTATTACCATTACCACTGGATTTTGGCCGACGTCCATTTGAGTCAGCGCTGTACCGGGAGAGACCGTTCACACCATTCGAGTCCCCATGCTGAGATAACAAATGATTCCCGTTGACCACCGCGCTCTCCTGTCGGTTGGGTACCTCATTGCCGTCGTGATCGTAGTCTCTGCCCTCCACGGAATCCTCGGGCAGTAGTGGCACCTCCGTACTCAAGTACTCCTTGATATCGACGCACGCGGCTGGAAAGATACCCGAAAACACACGAGCTTCGAGGGTAGCACCCTTAGTACTGGTGAGACCGGCCAGCAGCGATGGAGGCGCAACAAGGTATCCACGGAACCATTGACCATCATTGCAAGATTCGATAATGTAAAGCTCGTCGCCAAGTTCTAGGGGGAGATCATCCCGTGACGTAGGGTTGAAGGGGTGTGTTGCTATCGCGAAAGCTATGCGAGCTAGGGGAATCCAAGGCATTGGAACGAACGAATGACAACGAACGAACTAACGAACAAACGAACGAGGTGTAAGGGTTTATTGGTATTACGACAATGAATTTTTGATGGGCAGAATTTCCCTGGCAGGTCAATTGGGGGTTGGAGCTGACGCGCGATGGGGAGTGGGGAAAAACGGGCACCCGCAGCAGGCGTCACTGCTTGGGTGGGCTGAAGGATTATGATAACTGCACAGACGGATTGTTATTATCGAGCAAAGGGGGGAAGAAGGTTTCGAACTGAAGTAAGACGAGGAGGTTGAGAGGTAAAAAAAAAAAGGAAAACCCCCTGAAAGGAGCACTACGGTGCGGAATGATATGGTAACGGTATGATACCGTAGCAGCTCAGTAGCGCAATACCGCGAAGATAAAAGGAATGGCTTCGCCCACAGCAGAGGAGGAGATAAGTCCTGTGCTGTAGATTGAAGAAAGGGAAAGAGGGAAAAAGAAAAAGAGAATCCGAGGAGAAAACACGGTCCGAAAGGGAGAGTGGTGAAGCTGAAGAAGGGGGGGGGGTCGCAGAGCGAGAGGGAGGGAGAAAGGAAAGCCCTTCAGGTTGCGAGTAGTAGACTATCATCATACCTTTCAATTGCACACACTCCTGAGAGGGCAAAACCACAACGTAATGATTGAAATTGATAGGATGGTGCGTGTGGAAGAGAAGAGAAGGAAAAGCAAGATATCATAGCGGGAGAGCAGTTACAGCGCTCCAACAAGGTATGATAGGCAAAGTACCAGAAGCAAGCTGCCCCCCTCCTTCCCTGATCTGCTCAAGTACGGGTACGAGTACTGTATGCTTCTTTCTCCTGTCCCCTTACTTTCCTTTTTTTTTTCCTCCCTCCCCTTTGGTGAGGCTCAGACGGCTGAGAGATACGGTACCGGTAGGCTGACTGGTCCACTAGGGTAGTCAGTTCCAAAAGTCTTGTCGAACAGGACAAAAAAGGAAAGGCAATTCTCTCCCTCCCACAAAAAAGCAATCAGAATAAAGTGTCAAAATGCCCCCCATAAAATCTCACCCCTCGACCCTTGGATCAAGGCACAGTCGCAGTACCGGTAAAACACACAAGGTTGGCATATCATACCTGAACTTCCTCCCGATCGCGTAATATTAATTCAAAGGCAAATACCCGTACTGTATCATCCAATCTCGAACCAGCCCAAAAAAAAAAACCCCCCTCATTGCCACAACGAGCAGCCAAATGGCCGAAAACAGACAAGCAACCGCCTCGACAATCAACGGCCCCTACCAGTGAACTTAACCATAATTTCTCTAACACCCCGACAATTATTACTGTACTCGTAGAATCCCCATGCACCGCCAATCCTGTCCCACCCGTACAAGTACCGTGCTGCCCTGCCTGTCTTGTCTTGTCCTTCCCTCCATCCCCGCTCCCTCCACCCCCAAATCTCCAAACCAAAGTTTCCACCCCTTCCCTACCCAAACATGCCCAAAGCGCAAACACGGGATGTGGATGGGTTACTCGAGTATTTTCCTTTCGGAACAAGTTTCACGGGTGTGGAACCGAGCCAATTGGGAATGCGTATTGTCAAATTTTTGGGATCTATCCATCGATAGCCTAGCGGTAGTCTAGCTTACCGATTGTACAAGTACAGTACTAGTACTCGTATACCGTCCATATAATGGGGCAAGAGTGGGAAAGGGCAAAAAAAACGAGATAAAAGTAAAAAGACTAAGGAGCGGAGTTGTCCCTAACTAGACTTAGGCGGATTTGAGCGGTGTGATGGTGATGGTAATGGTAGTAGTGGTGATGGTGATGGTGATGGTTATGGTGATGGTGGTGGTGGTTGGTGAGCGGGTGGGCAAATAGAATAAAAAGCGCTCCGCATCGAATATTGATTGGCAGTTTGTCGTAGTGGATGAAGTCAGCGGTCGATAGCAAGATGGGGCATTCTAGATGTAATATAGGACGGCACAGTATTGTATTTGGACTTCACGTTCATGCTTCCATCTCATCTATGATATACCAGCTTCGATTGGAAGGTACGCAAGTCAATCAATGTATGACCGATCCTGCAATCCAAGATGATACTTTGAAGGTCGTAGCCCCCCCCCCTTACCATACCAGCACCGCGCTCCACTATCATCAATCAATCGGCCCTGATCCCACCCCTCCACACTCCTCGTCCACCATAACTTGAAGGCCAATACGGTATTTACAAGTACGAGTACTCGAGTACAAAGAAAGCACAGTCCAACAAATCACGATCAGACCCGTACCTCGCATCGATAGATCCCGTATCGCACGGTGCAGGTACGGCAATTCGCCAATACCGGCAACGATACCGGTACTGTACTGTACCACACATGCCACCAACGGCCGGCCGGACCCCTAGTCAGCTTGGCTTAGCTTGCAAAAGACACTCCTGGCAACACAGCTTCACGAACAATCACCCGATCTCTACACCCCGCGTGCAGTGTACGGGTAAGCGAGCTACAGGCAACCTGCTGAGACAAGCACCTTCATGTGATACCAACCTACCGCAAGGTTCTCCCAGCACAGTAAGCCCCATCAATCGCACCCGTGTGTGAGTGCAGTGGCAGGCAGGTACGAGTACCGTACCCTATAATACCGGTAACTCAAACCCAGCAGTCCAACTTGACCAATCCATCGTGTAGGGACAACTCCCTCCAAAAGGAGAAAGATCCTGTGATGATCACGTCCACCGCCAGCCTCGGTATATCTACTCGAGTACCGGTATACCCGAGTAAAGTTACTCGAGTCCCGGGACGCCTGGTGGTTTTGTCGGTTTCATGTTTTTCCTTGCTTTTTTTTTCTCCTTGTCTTCTATCTGTGGTGCGTGTTTGCTTTTTGTTGTTGATATATAGGAGGGTGGGAGAGGATACCGTACCGGTATAGGATCGCTAAGTCATTAATTCTCACTCGGTTAGAGCTTGAAATTCAGTGACTATTGTTGCCCTGTTGTCTGGTGCGAGGAACGATCCCGGAGTGACCTGTAACAATTGGTGACTTGAGACATGGCGAATACAGGGGTTATGAATGATCCCTCCGGTTTCTTCATGATACCCTATGTTTGAAGCGTCTAATACCATTGCTTTAGGCATCCGAACCAACACATCCAATGGGCACACCTAAGACAGCGCCATTTCATTCCGGCATCATGTGTCACAAACCACGCCCTCAACCATTGGCACTATCCCCGACTAATAAGTACCGGTAATGTCGTAAGGTCCCACCAAAACTACTTGTACTCTACCCAACGGTTAAACACAACCAAAATACTCGTACAGTGCTGTGCTAGTATAATACTTCCCAGCCGGCAAGGGATCCAGAAACACCCACACCCCCTCTCATGCCCGGAAAGCCAATCCTGAGTCACAGCCTACCGGTATTATAGCTCATGGACCACTACAACGCTCTCTACCACAGAATCATCTATGCTACATATCATTGCGATTTGCGAAGGGCTTCATAATCTCGCGAGCTTGAGAAAGGAAAAGAGGGAATTACATTTCCAACTTGGATATCTCGAAATATGTCAAGTGGCTCCAGACACAATTCCTAACGGTATATTGGGGATGTGTTGTGAATGGAGAGCAAGGCTTCTATCCCGCCACCTATGTTTTTCTCTCCCTGATTGCTACTAGGCCTTCAATTTTTTGTGGCCATGCCGTAGTTTTGGGTGTGTGTGCTTTGGTGAGTTTACCGTCCTGCAAAACCTTACATCGCCGCCATGTTCTTATGCTCTAGGTTAGCTGCCCGTACGTGCTTGTATGACATGATAACACGACTTCGAAGCTGCGGTGTGTAAGGAGTGCCAGTATTTTGGCGGCGGCGGGGTGGGAAGGTGATCTACGAGTGTATCTCATAACTTTCTACTTGGCCTATCAAACCCTTGAGCTGAGATAAAAGTGCACAATCCCCCACCTTTGGTGTTCTCAGCAAACAACAACCGGGAATTTAATTTAATTTTAATTTTTTTCCCCGAAAGCTCAATAGCTCGATTCTGGTAAAACGGTATTGAGCTTGGTATCATTACTCCTAAACCGCAGTAAAGTAAAGAAAATGTGGTATGATAATATTATGATAGCTTTCGAGGTATGATAAGATATATATACTACAGGGTAGGTTATGATACCTCCACCAGCCAGATAAATTGATAACTTTCGCTACTAAGCCGATCTTGAAAATGCCTGAAATCAAATCGAGGAATTTCACTCCACACCACATACCGTAATCCCATATGCACACTCGCGCATACGATTGTGCGCTCCCCCCATATCTATATTCTATCCGTATTTCCCATAATAATAATACAACTCTCTACCGGTGGGATTTCCATTTTCATAAAAATGCAGGAGAATGGTTATCCTACTATGGTAACCATGTATATCTTCTGCCCCACACACCCCGGAGTCAAGGGTCCTTGTATTGATAGTTTACTGTAATATGTGTAAGCGCTCCTGTATCTACGACGCATGCTTTCGTGGGGTTTTTCCGTCTCAAAGAGACATCGCTCACCGGGGGAATACTTCCCATATGACAAGCGAATGGCACTTTGTGATCACTTCTGCGGTTTCATTGGGAAAAGGATAAAAAAAAAGAGGAACCTCGAGAAAATGCTCCATCTATCGTGGAGTCCTAGATGTGGAAAAAATAGGTGCAAGGTTCGACCGGTCTCCAGCCCGTGGGTGTGTGTGTGTGGGTGTCTTGTTTCGGGGCGATGGTGATAGCATAATGGAGGAAGAAGAAAGGAAATGCTTTTTGATATCTAGAGAAGTTGATAGGCTTCCATCGCCATCAGAAGATAAGTGCGGGCGGTATAACTACCCTTGATCCTCTCCATCGTTCCACTGCCATTCTGTTTTTTTTTTTTTTTTTTTTGGAGATGGTGAAGCATTCACTGGGCCTTTCTCTTCCTACCGAGTTACAGATATCATGCCATCAGAGCCACTGCTGTACCATAGATAGTCTGGATGGCACAATTTCAAACAATTATCGAATGTGTTGATATCATAATATTATTATCGTAATATCATAATATTATGGTCTGATACCTCAAGACGATTTGTGGGCGGGTAACTACTCGAATGTTTCACAGAGTATCACTCGGCTTAGAATATTCACCCATGGCGTATCTGTAGGCTGGGTTATGTATGAACGGTTCGGGCACGTACAAGTGCGCTATCTCAGATCCCGAACGAGCCAGCCGTGAAAACCTCCCCTGTTAAGGAACATCACAGGGGGGTGTTTACGGGATTATGGGTGGCGGCCGACGTATAATAGTCGATAACTCAAGGATACCGGTATGGTATAATACAGGCCGCACTTGGAAGGAACGGTTGAGAACGAAGCTGCGAACACTGCTACCTTGTGCGGGGATAGTCCCCTAGCACCGTGTCTGACTCGAATCGCATTTATCACTCGGTAAGCAGTCCGGCGCTGTTCTATGATTAACATGATCAGGCCAAGGTATTCCGGGTTGCCTACCCGTACCTACCCGCTTACTTACCCTAGCTTTCGGATATCGGCAAACAATTACAGCGATGGTACTCGAGTATAATATTGTCGTTTAATTTAACAAACTAGTATGATAACTCAACCCTTGATATCTCACGGGTCCCGAGGCATCCCGTTACTCTACAGAACCCAGCCTTCATTAAACAACACACAAAGCACACAACTTTCAAAGCCACTTTTGCAAAGAATTTACTATACTGTACACCTTTGCAAAAGCCTACCCTATCATATTGATAATTTAGATACAGTGCGATCCCGCCCATGCGTACCGGTCCGTATATATCAATCAATCAGTCAGTAAAAACCCATATGGAACCGTACTGTACATAAATAAATAAAGTAAGGATGTAAGGAAAGCCCGCTACTAATACAACAAAGAAGAGGAGTGGAAATATTAAGAAAACCTAACACATCGTGTTGACCGGGAGAGGATGAACGGATGAATGAGTGAATGAAAAGGTTGAGAGGGTACCTAGAATTGGACTATTAGGGAGTAAAAGGGCCATGTGGGAGGTAGTAGGGGTAGCTATGATCGATGGGTATGCATGTGGAAGGCTAACGCCTCTTCTTCTTTCTTCCAACCTTCTTCTTGCCTTCCTGTCCACCGCCACCTCCGTCTTCCGTCTCCTTCTCTGTGCCTTCGTCGGCCATGCTCTCTCCTTCTGCTCCGGCGATGGCACTACCCTCGCCTTCCCCACCTTCCTCTGCAACAGTTCCCGCTGTCCTCTCTCTCTCCCGCTCCCTCTCACTTCCCGCACCGCCGGCGCTACCACTGCCAGCACCGCCCAACTTCCTTGCGGGCCCAAAGCTAGCGCCAAGGGCCTTTTTCATCCCCGCTTCCTCCGCCGTGCGAAAGTTATCTACCATCCCCTCCACGTCCCGGGCCATCATGACGGTCTCTTTCGCGATCTCGCTGCTGGACTTATTGTACATCATTGCATTGGCGAACATTCTGAAGAGCTCCTTTTCTAGCTGGACTGAGTTTACTATCCCCTTTGGGGGGGTGTTTAAGGTTGTTGCGGGGAGAGTTGTGAAGGTTGAAGTGTTTGCCGGCGGGGTCGAGGCGGCGATGGATTCGGTTGTTGGCGTGGTTATTGCTGGGGTACCGGTTGAAGTGTTGGTTACGGCTGCTGCGCCGGCCTTGACTGCGGCTTTGATGGCTAAGAGCTTGTTAGCTTTTGAGTCCTTGTGCAGGGGGAGGGAGGGAATTACATTTAAGATCTTCGGGCTTGTAGACTAGGTTTCGATACCCGGGTGCCATTCGCTCATTCACGGGGTTCATGAATAGGTTGGCGAATTTGTGGCTGCTGATATCACCTAGAAGTGGGGCGCTGAGTTGGAGAAACTTTTTAGTGGCTACAACCATCTGCTGCTGCCCGATTGCCACGCCCGTCGGAAGTGGTGACCCAATGCCTGTGGCAATGCCAGAATTTTGGGGTTCGAGCTTCGGAGGCCTGTGAAATGGCTTCCTCGGGGGGATTGTAGTAGTTTCCCCTTTGCTCTCTTCCTCAACATCTGATTGAGATGGGTTGCGCTTACGTTTCGGGGTTTTGCTTTTTGGCGTTTGGGCAATGGTGTCTTCGCGTTCAGTTGCTTCTGCGTCTACCCTGCGACCGCTGGCAGATGTCTTTCTAGTTGCCCTTCCATTCCCAGCCTTCCTCCCTTCAATCTCTTTGCCCTTGCGCACAGGTGCAGGCGAAGCCATTATCGCATTGTCGTGATCGACCTCAGAAAGTTCTTCGTCCTTAACTTCGCTCCCTTCTGAGATTGGTGAAACGACCGTTTTGGCTGTCTTCTGTTTGTTCGCCGGAGGAGGTTCGGCGCTAGGACTTCTTGATCTTCTCTCCACCTCTGCACTGGCACTCCTAGTGACCCTAGAAGGAGGGGGTTCGGCACTGGAAGCTCTGGCCACACCTATACGACCTAGAGGTTTTCCGGTAGCTTTCTTATCGGCCTTCGAGGATTTCTGCTTCTTGGGTGTTGGTTTTCCATCCGGCGACTTCTCTCTAGACCCCTCATTCTTATTTTCTGGACCAATCCCTCCGGATTTGCTTTCATCTAATAACCGTTTTTTACTACGTATTTTCTCAATAACGGTTGACTTCGGCGATTCAACTGTTGGTGAACCTCCGGGTGTACTTATCGGTGAAATCTCATCGGGCCGTGGCGGGATAGGCGAACCGGGGTCCTCTTCATTGGCCATTGGATGGACGGGGATTGATGGCGCATGAACTGGAACCCCGGTGTTGATCGGCGGGGGCGGAGCTTTCCTGGGTGAGATATAAGCTGTCTGTGGGATAGGTGAGGGTCGAGGTGCGATCTTTTGAGAAACGGGCGATGCCCGAGGGGCTGATAGTGCCTGAGCCGGTTGGCGCGGCTGCTGAACGGGTGCGGCAGGAGTGGGAGTATATTGCTGGAAAGAAGTCACTGGAGCGGCAGCAATTGGCCTTGGCTGAGCCTGTGAGTATTGTTGCTGGACAGGGACCGGAGTACCGGGGGTTTGAGGGGGATATAGAATTCCATAACCTCCACCCGGAGGGAGCGCGGGTCCGACACTTGCAGGGGCCCTATCGTAGATAGGAGTACAGGCAACGGGTTGAATGCGATCGGGCAAGCCCAGAGGAGGATATTGCTGATATGAAGGACGTGATGGTGGGGGATGTTTTTGTTTCCGTCGTGAATCTGCCACATCTGCCAGCTGATGTAAACCGCCCATACCCGGCGGTGACCCCTGCACTTGTTGCCCGGCCACTTGCATTGGTTGTGCGGGAACCGGCCAAACAGACTGTCCAGTGGCTCTAGGTGTGATCGGTGGGAAGGTTAGCCTACTAGGGGGTGGGACTGGAACCGGTGCCTCAATTTTTGCCTGAGGCCTGGCTGGAGGAGGGGCACCAGGCAGTGGTGTATTCGGATGCGGGGGAGGAGGCACGGCCTCCATCTTAAGTGGAATTGGCATCGGCCCGGGTAAAATTTTGGGGGTAGGTGTCCGCCCGGAGGAAGGTGACATGCTGTTGTGCGCATGTGGCTTTTGAGGGGAAAATGACGGTTGATGGCCTAGGACCTCACTTGTCCCAATCCCTGGAGCCGGTTGCATATGCTCGTAGCGCATCTGCGATGTTGAACAAGGGACCTGTGCTTGATTGAATTGCAGATGCAAGGGCTGCGGTTGTGGGGTCGCAACATGGGGCAGGACAAGAGGCATGGGTTTCTCGGGCTTCATGGGGGTTATAGTAGGATTCGGTATGGGCGGAAGGGGGGGCGTAGTAACGGGGGGTAAAGGTGACTTGGTGGGTAGAGGTGCCGTCTCTCCGGACCCTGTGGCTGCTGAGGATCCTTCGATCATACTGTCAACTGGAATGATCCGTCTATCGGATGATGGGGAAGAGACTTTGTCGCGAAGGTCAAACGACATCCCCGACTTACTCCTGTCCCTTGTCCTGGCTTGCTCCTCCCTCGCCAGGCATTCATCCCATATCCCCTCGTTGATTTCGTCGATTTCGTCATTCAGGCGCTGGTACCTCTCCTCCAATTCTTGGATCTGGCGAAGGGAAACCTTCCGGTACCGTTCGTAAAGTCGCGAAGTGAGAAGCTTGACCAGTCTCAACTTGTCTGCATCGGAAAGCACTGTCGTATTAGTTTTAGTTTTGGGTTCTCGTGAGATTATCTGAGAGCCCGGTTTACCATCGCCATTGAAATTCCTATCACTGTGCGCAAGTTCGGATTCCGCCTCCGCCAACCGAATATGATAAAATTCGCGAAGAGCATCCGGCGATAGCCTTCCTCGGTCGAAAGTAGCCTCGGCTTTGATGACTGGGTTCTTTAGTATAAGCTGGGAAATAAGAGAAAAAGATGACGGATGGGTGCCATGAGTCGAGAGATAGTGGAATAGGAGGAGGGCCTCCAAAGGAGTATAGGCGGTATTCTGAGCAGGAGAGCTCATGCGAACGAGATTTCCGAGGGGGTTTGCTGATCGGAAGTGACTAGCAAAGGGGAGAGGGAAGAATCCAAGTTTGTGGTCGGCGGCGGGTTTAGTAGGAAGGTCGGGCGAAAGAATGTGGTGATGTCAGACCTTGGACCAGAGATTGACGCGTTCGCGGTGGTTGTTGTTGGGGGGGTATTGTTGCGGCACGGGGTGGAGCTGAGAGCTTCAGTAGAAGATGAGACTAAATGGTGAAAGTTAGTTTCGCTGACTAAGCCGACTCGATGAGACAACATGGGTGTGGCTGCCATGTGTGTGGCTTGGCGTGGCTGGGCTTTTCATCGTTGCGTTTGCCAAGCCAATTTATGAAGTGACCGGGCACCCTGACATGCATCGATATACTCGTACAGTATAAAGTAGCGCCAAGGCGTCCTGATACTTTATGGATTGGCAAGGATTTATGCAAGTGTTGGTGTGTTGGTAGGCCCTTCGCTCCATATCTAGAATTCCCCCATTTGGATAAACCTGAGTGTGGAGAAAACACCGCGGATTTGGAGAATGATGACTAACTTTGGTGTTTCCGGGAGATTTTTTATATCCAATTTCTGCCTTTTCTGGGAGGCTTTGGTGATTCCTCTACTGATGTGGACCGGTAGCTGGTCCCAAATACTATACCCCCCCCCCCGAGTTCTTCCCTTGAGTATGGTAGCATGGTAATATAGTACTCTTGGCCAAGATTGTTTAATGTTCGCTCGAGCATTTGGATACAGGAGTGACGCCCGACGGCGATGAAATAACACTTGCCAAGTTTATACTACGCTGACTACTCGAGGAGTGGGATGGGATCATGGGTTGGCGCAATTATTCGAGTAGCTTTTTTTTTGATGACATAATTTCTGTAGAAAAATGCCTCACTCCTGCTATCCACCCGTATTTAGTTTAAATTTACCTGTATGGCGGGGTTGAAGCTGGGTGCTTCTTGTATGGTGCTGGAATTGCTGCCCTAAGTTTTCGGCGCCAACTCGACCGCGCGAGTATGATACATACTAGCTAGACTCATCTACACCATCCACAGCTTAAGGAATACTCTTTCCCAGCACTTAGTATGGTATCATAGTGGCCCAACCTCCCAGAAGCACAAAACCTTAGCTTTCTCCTGGAGCTTGAAGTTGCCCACTGTGCTGGAATTTGTTTCAGTCTCCATATTGTTGCAACGTACTGTACATACCTTGCAAAACTGACAGAAGGTTTTCTGCAGAAGATTTCTAAGGATCAAAGGCTACCCAGTCACGGATCTCAGATAGCCAGCGACCACTCTTCGGGGGGCTAGTAGGTATTAATGGTCGCAGGACAAAAAACTCAATTATAAAACGCAGCTAAGTGTCTGAGTGCCATGACGCCGTTTCCCTCAATCGTTATGTATGTTCCATACATACAGGGAAATATATTTGCAAACAAAGATCATTACAGTAGTATAGTGGGTATAGTAGATTAGGCGGTTGGTGAAAGTATCTGGTATCACTCTATTTTGAGAAAGCGGGAAACCCTGGAGCGCAAGTCTGAGTGGGGCATGTCGATGGGCAAAATGGCCCACCGCATGCCTGAACAAGTCCCATTGGGGAAACCGCGGGGGGATTGGTCGGGGGTAGCACCAAGTGTGGTATCATAGTGATCGTGAGGCTGGGGATGAGCTGGGTCTGAGCCCTAAGAACACATTTTCTATGGCAGAATGGGCCAGCAGTGCGGAGGAACGCGCTTACAATGGCTGCGATTTCCCTACTTAAAGGCTTTGTGTGGCTGAGTAATGATGTTCTGTTTGCTCAAGGTAAAGATGGTAAACTGAGAGCATGGTAAATTTCCAACCCAGGATCTAATGGGGGTTGCGTTATTCAAGCTAGTATTGGTGTTTTTGGCAAAAAAAAACAAGCTGTCATACCCCACTTTACGATGAAATGTACTGTGCGAGGGCGGTTACGTAGGAGGAATAACCCTAGTTCTTATCTCACATGGGCATTTGTTATGAGAGGAAGGATATATTGTCATATAATTGATAATTAAGGAGGTAGCAACACAGACGCTATAGATGACGGAGAATACTGAACGGACGTCATGATGCCAATGGCATCTGGGGCGATTACTATCATAACTAAAACCGTATTCTCCTGGGCCCATAGCCGTACTTCCTAATCAATTACTACAGTATATAAATATAGCACGAACGGATTCCTCATGGGAGGTTGGATCAACCATTCTATTTACAGTTGTGGGAGATATCCGAGCAACTAAGATATCATGAATGTGGGAAGTCTGGTGGGTATTTGTATAATAAGTAGTAGGGCGCGCCTCCGAGCGTACAAGAATGAAAAGGCAAGGAGTGTTGCTACAAGACTAGAGAGGTAGAGGGTGTTGGATCTGGTGTCTATCAGTCTTTCCATCACTCGCCTTCTTACTAGAGGTGCTTTTATCACTAGTTTTCTTCCGATTCTTTTTCATCTCTTCCTGCTCCTCTTAGACTTGAGGTCGTACCTTAAGCGACTGTAGCACGCCGTTTCTTGCCACTCAATATTGCCATTAAAACCATCTTGTGAGCTCTTTCGTTCTTACGCTGTTTCTGTTGACGTCGGATAGAATTATTCCGGGAGTGTGCGATGTGAGATAGTTCTGGAAGCAAGACTTGTAAGAGAGGGTGATGGATAGCATGAGGACGATGGAGTAGTAAGTGGAAGATACCGGAGGTTGTTGTGACCCTGGCGATAAGATCTGGAGAGTGGGAGTATTCGTAATGTCTTTCTTTTGTTGTGAAGGGTCATGGAGAAGGTCCTTTCTTTTGTATCTGTTCGAAGGTTATGGAGGAGCAAAGGGTCCTGTAGTTAGCAGGAGATGTTTTTGGAGTTTCCTATTTTCTAGTATATTTAGCTTGGTTTTTCTCATCTGTTTAGAGGTAACGAACCTCTGATCTGACGAACCTGAGTGCAATATCATTAGATTCTTATCTCTCTTCTCTCGTCCTCATCTCTCGTCCGCTATGCACACTCGTCTAGACACTGGTAGTTTCCCCATATATCGCTACGAGGGAGGGAGCTATTCCGTCTACTTTTCGTCCCCAATTGTCCGTATAGGCGCACTCGAGTGCGCCTAGTGGAAAATCAAGCTCTTTCTCTCTCCCTTGACATGAAATATTGTAATAGGCTTATATACGCTCGCAGGGAACCATAGTCTTTGATAACTTCAACTCGAACCTTGGATAAACCAGAGGGCAAGGCTTAATGCCCAAACATATAAAG